TTATATATATATATATATATATATATATATATAATTTGACTTGTCAGTATGTGTTCATCAGTCTTGTGAAATTTCTCCAGGTTTAGTTCTGAGTTCTGAGACTCAGATCAGTATTGAAGACAGATAACTGCAGAGCATGATACTGCCATCACCCTGTGTCACAGTGGTGGCCTTTTAAAGTTCGAGTTTGGTTCCTCAACACATTCTTCGACAAGGCTTTAGGAGATTTTAGCTAGACTAGCTTCAGTTTTTCAACTCTACTGCTCAGTCCAGACCAGTAGTATACAAGAACCAGTTCCTCCATGTGGAGCACAACCAGTTCTTGTTGGAAGCTCCTGTAGATTCCTCAGTGTTGTGTCTTGGTGGGTCTCATTGAACAATTTACTCCCTGTTTTCATACATTTTTGGAAAAATTGTTAGGTTTTTGTATTTTTGAACTTCATTGACAGCCTCCATATATATAAAGATACAGATATTTTTAACCTTCTCCTTATTCATACCTTTTATGCAATAACATTCCCTTAATCCTTAGTGACTTCTGTGCCAAGTAGTCTTCAGAAATGAGCAGTCTCAGACCCTCTTACTATAGAACAGGTCAGTTTGTCAACCTAAGACTTAATGCTGAAAGTCTATCAAATTCCATTTAATATTATTTATGTGTACAGGAGGTCACATGTTTTTCTAACATTCTTCATTGTATACAGGATGTATGTAACATTAAAAGTCTGAAAACAATTTATTGTGGCTTCCATATTTTCTGTCTCAATTAGGAGTAATTATTTTGTGCAGCTGTTTATTGAATGAATGGCACTGTGAAACCGACATCAGAACCACATCTGAAAAGCTGACCTTGCCTCTGGTGACTCCAGGCGATTCTTACTCGCTAAACGAGGTTGGATCAGGCTGCTGTGGTGGAATCAATGATTACTTTTTCATCTTGCTATAGCAAACGTATCTGAACCAAAATATCAGACTCCTCCAATGTGGGAGAAGTAACTTTTCTTTTTGATCTCAAGATTTAAGTTGGAAAAGTAGCAGTCTTCTCCTGCTGCAAGAGATTGAGAATGTCAGATAGACATGTATGAGAGTTTCAGTATGATGTGAAACTATAAAATCAAAATCAGATCAAATTTTATTTGCGTAGCACATTTCAACAACAAGAGTTCAAAGTGCTTTACGTCATAAATCATCATAAAAATAAAAGTCGACAATTGACAGGTTTTTCAAGGTGACAAGACAGAGATGTGCCAGACTGTTCTTTGACAAGATAGTTCCGTCTGTTGGAATCAGAACTGTTTTGGAGAGTTGGTCTTTATCAGTTCCAGCTGATTATTTCTGCCAGAGAAAGAGACCTTTTTTCTATGCCGATGCAGAGGACGCTACGTCAAAACATCATATCCTGTACCTCCCAGTCACATTAACACCACTGTGGCCTCTAGTTGGAATACCTGTTGAGAAGTAGAGGTAACCCTGTGGCTGGCCCTCTGCAAAACGATTCCTGAGAGAACACTGCACCAATATTTAGCAGGCGAGAGAGACAGAGAGAGAGAGGCAGGGCTTTCAGACCAAAAACCGTTGACAGCCAGGTGGGATTACTGACTACAATAAGTTTCAGAGTTACTGGATGAACTCTGTTGCCTTTCCCCCTTTTTCACTCTTTCCCAATCCTTTGAGACAAGATGAGGAGACTTTTCCACAAAGACTTTAGAAAACATTTTGAAAACCCTCTCAGAATTCCTCAGGTGGAGAGTTGCTAACCTAAGTCATGCTGCTATCATTTTAGGGAGAACAGCCCGTCTTCTAGAAAGCCTTCTTGAACAGGCCATGCTTGTTCAGTGTTTTTATAGTAGTTCTATCATGAACTATAAAACTTAATATGCCTAGTGGGGGCTTTGAAATTCAAGATGGTGCTACTATGTTTGTTGTAATTACTATGAGGACTGCACAGTGTGATGTTGGAGTCAGTTTATAGGACATCAAAGTCCTTCTATTTGAAGTGGAAATGGAAATGTTTTCCACTTGAGAAATGTCTTACTTATTGGAGGACAAATAACTATAATGTGATGTAACAATGCTTTTACCCAGATGAATGTAAAATCAATTGCAGGTGACTGTTGATGTCTTTCCATTTTGGCATCTGGAGCACATCTCTGTTGTGCAACTGTAGGTTTGATTTGGATATTAATAACTACTTATGTAATTATTAACAAAATCAGATGAGGGAATAAGTTTGAACACTTACCTTCTCAAAATGGAAGTCGTTCACACACACACAAACAGACGACTTATGTCCAAAATATTAGAATTTAACTAAATACTTTAACCATCGGTTAAAATACATGTTATTAGTATTAGTCCCCGTTTGTTTCCAAAATGTGTGTTTTTGTGCTATTTCCGCTAACTAGCAGAAATGACGTATAAATAAAGAAGAAGACATTTTTGGAGAAGAAATTTGAAATTTCAGACGTTTTCTATTTTCTGATTAAATAGATGTGAACAAAGAGAAAAAAATATCAGAAATGTCCAACTTAATGCTCCACATCACTAAGCTATTATTCTTTCTATAAGAAATTGACCTATTTTTAGATTTAAACACTTATATTTTCATAACTAACTACATCAGTAAAGCAGACAAACACAGACTGATTGCCTTGAAATGACGACTTTTTGCAAATTTCTGAGTTACCAATAGGGTTGTTGGGTAGAAACGAATATATGGAAGTGCAGTCTTTCATTGTATGTGAAGAGAAACATTTCTGTACACTTTTAATAAATGCCAAGAAACCCTCCTCCCCCACAAAACAATGATAGAAGAATACTCAGAGTTTTTGATATCTTTCAGCTCAGTTTTCTGCTTAAAGTGCTAGTGAGTGGTAATCTGAACAGAAAGTGGATCCCCTTATTAGATTCTGCTTGAAGCCCTGGACTATTTTGTGCTGGCCCTGTGCTAAATACCATCAACTTGGATAAATTAGAAGATGTGTTCCGAGGCTCATTTGTCAGATTAAAACTAGATTAACAAAGCAGAAAAAAAAAATAAAAAAAATAAATAAAAATAAATCTTTAAGAAAAATACTTTTCATTTAGCCCACCTCAAATTTGATGTGTCTACTCTTAAATGTTGGGCTTTCATCAACTGGTAAATATCAACATATTTAACAGAAGATTGAAAGTCATAGGTCTGTTAAATTAGTCAATGCTTTTCACTTACTGAGTTGAACTACTGAAACAAATGAACTTTTCAGGAATGTTCTAAGTCACTGAATATTAATATGTATAAGATGACTGGAAAAGATCAAACATATTGCATATGTTTATGAGTTATATGAGATATTCAAGATTGCAATAGTAATTAGCTTAAGGGTTCATAAATGTTTCGTACATTTATGAACACTCAGTTTTTCTAGTTTCTCCTGTTTAAAATTATAAACTTAGCCGACCATAATTTTGTTGGCAGAATTAAAATGTCATTTGAATTTTTTTCGCTCAGAGTATGTTTTTGTCAATCAGCTAAATCTGCCAGTTGTCTTTGTGTGAAACAATAAATAAATAAATAAAAATCTGTCAGTGGATTATATGAGGTAACGGTAACGCCCTAAAAACATTTCTTTGATGTGATTGGTCAGCACTTACATGGCAACAAAATAAGCGACCAATAGGAGATGAGGTCTCTCTACCCCCATAAGGCTGCGAGCTCGTTTCTAGCCAGCTAACGCAAACAAACCAGGCAGAGGCACAAGGTTGAAGTGTGTGTTTTTGTGGATATTTTTCGACTTTTACGCCCTCCTGGCATTCTGCTGCAAAATTCACTTTTCTTGTAGAGGCCCTCTCATTTCTTCTTTGGTACGCAAACAACAAAACAAAACTGAAGTTGCTTTGGTGAAGGTAAGGCGGATTTATGTCCCTTTACAAAACCGCACCGGCTTATCCAAAATGGCCTCTGCTAGCTTGCAAGCACAGAGCATCAGCTCGAGTTAAGCTAACTAGCGCATATTAGCTCGGGAACCGGCTGGTAGCCTAGCCTGGAGACGGGTCGGCTGATTTATATTCTAGTAGAAAATGGCGTCGTAGCCTAGTTACAGCGAGTTTTATTTATGTGTAAATATACATGCACGCATACATAATTTTAGTATTTGCATATAATAAGTTTAGGAAAACACGTTGCGTCAATATTGTGGGGCATCAGTCGCCATGAATGGGTTATTTAGACCCAGACATAATTCTCCACACCTCTATCAGGATGACAATAAAAGGCCGGTTGAGTGGAAAGCATCCTCGGCTGTCCATGCTGCCCTGCCCCGAGCCTCTGCACCAGTACATAACGTTCACATCGGTTCTGCTGTTTTTGCATCCATAATGACGAACGATTAATATTTAGACCACAGCAGCATGTCGGTGTTCATGACACATGCTGTATAAACCCAGCCGCTTGTACATTTAACCGCTCTGCTAGTGTCGTGACGGAGCTAATTTATGGATTCAGCAGCATAGTGAGCTAGCTAATTATTTATGTTAGCGGATAGCATTAGCATGTTAGCTGACGCAGCTTCTTCTTTGTTGTCGACAAAAGGGTCCTATTCACATTCATGCATTTTGGCTCACCGAGTTCTTTGTGTTCTTGTTAGAACAGTGACACAGAAATGGAAACACGTTATTCTTAGGTAGCAAGATGTGATTTAGAGTGGTTCCTTTTTTACATTCCTGTGAATTTCTTATTTTCCATTTTAATTTTCCTTTATGATGCTGATTATGGTTTTTTTCTTCTGTCTTCCTCAGCCCCGTTTTCCCCATCCCCTCCTATTATTCTTATTCTTTTGAGTATTCTTCATTGTCAAGCCGCCAAAGTGGAGAGTGTGATTGCAGAAGGGGGTGCTTCTCGTTTCAGGTAATAAATCACAGGGGCTTTTTTTCTCTCTTTTTTTTTTTTTTTCCAAGGCCTACTAACGGGAATATAAATCATTTATTCCAGGGTCGGCCCTATAATAGGGTTTTGGGCTGGGACTTCCGGCATTTAAAACAAAGCAGGATTGGGAATGCTCAAAATGGCTGTCAGGCACTTTGCATTGTGAGACCTTTTTTTTTTAAAGGGGTGGCTGGGTACATAGACTGATCCTTAGAGGGGATTCAAAGTCTGTTTTGTTGCACAAAAAGCCCTCCATGATTGTTTAAGATTTTAACACTAGCTTGATGATATTGAGAGTTTATAGCTCTGGACTGGAGATGGGAAGCAGCTGTTCATTATTGTGTGCAAGTTGTAGATAAGAAACAAGCTGTTTTGAAATGTGATTCTGTAACAGCTTGTGAATGTAGACTGGATGGAAGATCATGCTGTCTCTGGTTTAACAACAAGGCGGCCCTGGGGAATATTTCCATGTACCGCTCTGTCACACCGTCTGCACTATGCACATAATCACCGTCATCGCTTCTGTAGATCAGAATGCTTCTGATGTTTTTCTTCAGAAAAAATTCCTTCACAAAAGCTTGTGAAGGAATTTTGTGAAAAGCTCCATCACAGGAAATTCCTAAATTTCTTCCATCTTTGTTATTGGAATCAGTCAACAGTTTTAGCTTTGGTACAACAGAGTAAGAACACCTATGTTCAGTGTTTTTCAGTTAAAACTTAAAGCAATCCCCTGGCTTCTAAGCTGAATTTCAATCCTTAAAGATACACGAAGCTGAGCTTTCTGTCTGCTGCCTAATAACATTCATTTGAGTTAAGGTCACCTTCTAATGAAAATTATAAAACTAAAGTGTAATTGCTTCAATTAGAGCAAGACGAATGTTGAATGAAATGTTTGCTTTCTCTTTAAATGACTGCTGGGTTTGTTTGTTTGTTTTTTTTAATGCAAAAACTCCTAAATTCTTCTTCAGTCGTGCCTCAACCTGAATCCCTTCATTGACCATCTGATTAAGAACAGAACTGAGAAGTTTTCTGATGAACTCAGACACAAATTTCCTTTAGCTGTATATCTAAAATGAACAATCAAGTTGACCTACTGCACCCGAGGGGAAAGAAATGTTTATAATCTAGTCTGTTTCTGCCCAGATAAATCTCTGCTACTTTGTTGGCACTTTAGATGGAATTTATTCTTCTAAACAAATCTAGATTTAGTTCAGATTTTTGTCCAGTACACTAATGATTTTAATACAAGCAAAAAAAAAAAGTGGTGAAATTGGTCAAGTAAAATCTAGTTCTGAATAAGATGCTGTGGTTTTATGCTGAGCAGATATTCATGAATCAAAAGCTTTTCACCTGGTTCATGACTTGCCAACATGTGCATAATAATGACTCGTTGTTTCAACCTGTAGTAACGTTCAGTCAGTGTACAGACTAATGGCTCTGTTAGATGAGATAAATGTCGGTTACAAAACTAATTCAGTACTTGGTTATAGATAAATACATGAGCAGCAGGAAAGTATTGAGCTAGAATTCAGTTGTGTTGCTTTTTAAACAGTTGACAGAGATGTGAAGTGTTTAATGATCAAATGGTAGCTTTGATTTGCTGATGAAAAGCAAAAGTAAATCTCTTCCTTAAGTAGCTGCACTCATTCCCAGCAGCTTTCCCTTCCAGTTTACTGACTCTGGGGAACTGTTCAGTCTCTCTCCAAACAGTAGATGTTCAGAGTCAACACTGTAGATGTGCAGATCACTTATTCCTTTAGTTTTCTTAAATTGGGTTTACTGGTGAATGGCCTTGTGTTTGCCGAACAGTTCCAGTTTGTGGCGTGAAGTTGACGCGTTCCTCTGGTTATTTTCCTCTGCAGTGCTTCTTCGGGGGGAGGAGGTGGTAGGGGTGCACCTCAGCACTATCCCAAGACTGTCGGCAACAGGTAGGGTTAGCTTTAGACTCAGTTCTTATTGACATAAAGCTCATTTGACCGCCAAGAATTATTTATTTTTATTTGTCGTCACTCTGCTGAAGACTGAAAGAATAGAAGCTGGAACTCCAGGGAACTTTAATTACAATTCCCAGTAGTTCTGTACTGCCATTTCAGACTCTATTTCTCTGTTTGTGGTGACGGGTTTTCCACAACGTCGGGTTGAAGTGAAGCTAATAGAAAGGTAGCAGTGATTGGGATTGTGCAGGTGCTGAAGGTTTGCTCTCAGAACAATGACCTTTGTGTTGCGTTCTGTACAAACCGTTCTGCTGCTGCTGTTGCTGGACTCTGTTGAACTGAGTCTTTTTGCGTTTGCAGCGAGTTCCTGGGGAAAACCCCAGGGCAAAGCGTTCAGAGATGGGTTCCTTCACGAAGCACTAGACGAGATGCCAACTCCAGCAACGAGAAAGAGCGACACGATGCAATCTTCAGGAAAGTGAGGGGGTAAGGACCCGATTGGTGTACAGGAATTCAAATGTTTTTGGGGAAATAAAATCACAATATATGCGAGAATTGGATTTAACCATAATTAAAGGCAACAAGTGATCTTAAAGGGACAATATGTAAAATCAACTTTTTTGAGCTTTACATCATGTTATGTTATCAACTCTTCAAAAACATACCAGTGTTGCTTTGATTTTTAGGGTTAAGCTAACCTGATCCAACATTTAACCCTAATCTTTTGAGAAATCTGTTAATCTCCTGTGGCAACCGTTCAGCTGTGCAAAACATTTGATGAGATGTAGCTCTGCCTTTGAAGATGATACTCGTCCTCAGAGGTGCAGTTTCCAAGTTTCTGCCTCAGACTGCCCCTTCTCAGCTCCTTCAGACTAGCCAGCAGCAATTGGCAAACACCTGCTGCGCATCTGCTGAGCTCATTATACAAGCTACTTCTCAGTGCAGCTTTGTTAAAGGGTTATAGAGGACCCATGTTGTGATGACTTCCTGAAAGCAGATTTTCAGAAAGAGCAGATGATTTTTAAAGAGACAGAGACCCAATTTCAGGGCGCTAAATTACAAAGTCAAATGTCTTGGCTCATATTTGATATATGCAGCATTTTATAACTCACAGTAACATAGTTACTTGATTGTGCTATAAAATGCTACTATAAGCCTGGAAAACACATAAAAATGCTCTTTTTAAATCAGTCGAGTCAAATGTCAAATGGTTGAATCTTCATTTAAGCTTTTCTGAAGCCATTTCAAGCCACACTGAGGCGGAGTCGTGTTTCTGCTTGTTTACACCAAAACAAAAGATAAGACTGCAGTCATTAGGATGGCATGTGGTTTGAAAAAAGCACTTCAGGCCTGTTCCTTTCTGCATCAGGTGCTGCTTCTCAGTATAAAACATGACTGTTTTGTTTTTTTTTTAACCGACCTTACTGTCTTATTTTTACCTTCTTTTTTTATTTCTTTCCTAGCATACTCAACAAACTCACGCCTGAAAAGTTTGACAAGCTATGCCTTGAGCTCCTGAATGTGGGCGTAGATTCAAAACTCGTCCTTAAAGGAATCATCTTGCTGGTAAGTGAACATTTCGGATCCGTTTAGCCGAGCTAAGCGGAGATGTGTGGACGCGCCGCTGCTCTTGCTGACTCGCATCCCAACTCTGGTTCGTTTCAGATTGTAGACAAAGCCCTAGAAGAGCCAAAATATAGCTCGCTCTATGCTCAGCTATGTCTGCGCTTGGCAGAGGACGCTCCAAACTTTGATGGCCCTTCATCTGAGATCCAAACATCCCAAAAGCAGAGCACAGTAAGTGGCTGTTATGGTCTGAGGGCAAGGACTGGGATTCTCAGGCTTTAAGAAGAAGGGAAAAGTTGAGATTTCTGCATGGGAAAAGAAAACGAAGCAAGTTTCACTTGTCAATACAATAAATGTCATGTCAGATAATGAAAAGCATTAGTGGTTCCTTACAGTCTGAGATTTTTCCTAGATTTCACATTCAAATTCAAAAGTTACATTATTGATCCCAAAGGGAAATTAAATGCTGTTGTAACTCATATTAGTCAGATTCTTCAGTTATTGTTGATGCTGATGAACTGACCTGAGGAAATAAATAAATTCACTGAACTCTTTTTAATTCCACTTTATTTAAATGTAACTAGTTTAATTTCCCTTTAGGCGCTTTCGCACGGAACAGAACGGAACGGTTGTGTTCACATTACAACTTGCGACCGGTGTTCTAGATCAACTGGTGGTGGCAGCTGGAAAAGACTGATGTTTCTGTGGGCGTGGCTTTTTAGGACCCCCCCCTACTGTTTCTGTAATGTTACACTTTATTTCCTAGCTCATTTACAGAAGACATGGCTACCGCAGATCTATGTGGCAGTGTCATTTCTTCCTTATTGTTGATATTTTTTCTCGTCTTTATTCTTTTCATCAAGTGACCGTAATTCTCAACCATATGAGACATCGCTGAAAAAACAATTGTCTTATATACTTTTACATCAGAAACAGGTTAAAATCTTCACTCGAACTGAGATTCTGAAAGTGTCACCAATTAATCCAGGCCTGGTTCTTAAAGCGCAGGGTGTCCATTAGATGACAATCAGTGACAGCTAGGAAATAAAGTGTAGGGTTACAGAACCAGTTAAAAAGATTTCGCTATAGTTTCTGTGGATACCTATTTGAAATATCACAATATGAGGAATATGTGGAAAATTACACAGCCAGTCGAACTTTTTAAACATTTCATTTTTAACCCCAAGGCTCTTCAACATTTATGTCGGCTTTCAGGGAATAATCTTTGCTTTGAGATCTGCTCATGCCACATCGAGATCTATTTCAATCTTGCTTTGACGAGTTTCAACCTCTGAAGCAACTCATAAGTCAGGACAAGTTCTGCGTAATTTACACGTTTTGATGGTTTTGCAGATGAACTTTTAAAAAAAAAAAAAAGGCAACATACCATATTGACCAATAAAGTCTTTCTAATTAGTTATTCCCGAGATCTTAGTGGTTGTTTTACGGAATCGGATAGTATTTTTGCAAAGATTTGTAGTTCTTTAAGCTTATTGCATTGTTTACTTCCTGGTTCGGTAAAGGGGTCCTAAAAAGCCACGCCCACAGAAACATCAGTCTTTTCCAGCTGCCACCACCAGTTGATTTAGCCACCAGTTGATCTATAAACCCGGTCGCAAGTTGTAATGCGAACACAACCGTTCCGTTCCGTTCTGTGCAGTGCAAAAGTACCTTTTGAGAAGATTATAGTATTATTAAATTAAACAGTGACTGAGAACTCTTTTAAAAAAAGATGATTTTGAGCCTTGGAACCCAAATTAAGAAATCAGGTTTTGTGTGAATACAGAAGCAAATTGAGAAATATTTTTTTTCTCCTTCCAGACCTTCAGAAGACTGCTGATTTCCAAGCTTCAAGATGAATTTGAAAATCGCACCAGAAATGTTGAAAGTAAGTCAAAGGTGATGGTCTTTTGAGCTATATTTTGAAATGTTGCTACATATAGCAACATTTCAGACAGAAAAAAAACAGCTTCATTCAAAAAGGAATGAGCAGGTCAAGCTTTTTGAACTTCGGTAATCAGCCAGAGAGCCTGTGTCCTGATAAAGCTGCTGCTGACCTGTCCTTCCTTTCAGTCTATGACAAACATGACAACCCTCTCACTTCTGAGGAGGAGGAGCAGCGTGCCATCGCCAAGATCAAGATGCTTGGCAACATTAAATTCATCGGGGAACTTGGCAAACTTGACCTCATCCATGAATCTATCCTTCATAAGTGCATCAAAACAGTGAGCTCATGCTTTTTCTCCTGTTTGTGTTTAATAGTTTTTAATCATAACCATCAGACTCGTGGTGACTCCTTCCTTACTTCCTGTTATTATGTCCAAAGCTTCTGGAAAAGAAGAAGAGAGTCCAGCTCAAGGATATGGGAGAGGATCTGGAATGCCTCTGTCAGATAATGAGAACAGTGGGGCCGAGACTCGACCATGAGAAAGCAAAGGTACGGACCTCTAACGTGGCCCTCGGTGTGACTGAGGATTGGATTTTAATTCAGCACTGTGTTGAGCACTTCCTCCCTCTCCGTGCGCTCCCAACAGTCTTTAATGGATCAGTACTTTGGCCGTATGCGATCCTTAATGAACAACAAGGAGCTGCCTGCCAGGATCCGCTTCCTGCTGCAAGACACAGTGGAGCTGCGTGAAAACAACTGGGTCCCCCGCAAGGCCTTCATCGACAACGGACCAAAGACGATTAACCAGATCCGTCAGGACGCAGTGAAGGTCTGCCATCTTTACCATATTTAGCCATGAAATTATGTAGTTTGTAGGATCGTTTTATTAACGATTGTTGTTTTTCCTCTAGGATTTGGGTGTTTTCATCCCAGCACCCATGTCTCAGGGGATGAGGATGGACTTCTTCCTGGAAAGCCCTTTCATGCCCAACAGAATGAAACTGGACAGGGAGACTCTTGGGGGATTGGCCGACATGTTTGGACAGATGCCAGGTGTGGGATCATGTTTTATTAGGATCAGGATTTTGACACGTTCATTTCAATTAAATACATACATTTTAATAAGTAGAAATTTCAACTCAACTAATCGTTTCATTTGTTTATTTTTTTTACATACAAAAGTTCTGGCTGGTCTTTGTTTCGTCACTCCACAATCTGTACTGTCAGCTTATTTGTTCATGCACTTTAAGAAATACTTCAGGAAGGGTTGTTTTATTTCTTTTTGTGTTTTATTGTAATCGTAAAAATAGTATTTCATCTTAGAGAAGAATAACCTAAAGATAAAAACGGTTTTATTGTACTTCTCTAGACTGCTCTGAATGCTATTTTCTGAATAACAAAAAAATCTAGCAAGTGTCTGTACCTGTATAATATTCAAAGAAGAGGAAACATGGAGTATTAGATTAGTATTTCCCATGAGCACATAGCATATAGTCAAGTACAGTCAAATAACGATCTCATAGGATCTGTGTATTATTGTTCTTTTGTGTATCTATGATGAGACCACCAGAGGGCGCATTGACAGCGTAGAAGAGTTGCAGTCCTTTGACTCGATACACAATTTTCTACTAAATTATAATCTTTGAACTATCCATCCACCCATCCATTTTCTGAACACCCTTGTCCCTCAGTGGGGTCGGGAGGGGTGCTGGTATCTTTGAACTAAATAATGACAATTATTTATTACGAGAATTATAACATTGTGCAAGAAAATTGATCCTCTTATAGTAAGTAGGATTTTAATTAATATAAGTAAATATGTCGTGCTTGGTTGATCTACATTTTTACAATGATCCGGAAGTATTTCTTTTAGCGCATGCTCAAGTGAGCTAAAGGTACGACTCATGATTCCGGTGGAGTGACATCATCAACAACAATCTGATTGGGTGCTGAAAAAGACTATTGTTGTGGTAGAAAGAATTATCCTACAAGCAAAGCTATTCAAGCCTAAACTAGCATTTCAGTGCTAGCATGTTTTGCAGCACAGACATCTTCAACACTGATGTCAGCGTCCCAATTTCTACATCTGAAGTCCTCTCTGCTTTTGTTTGTTAGGCAGCGGGATCGGAACCGGACCGGGTGTTATTCAGGACAGGTATTCGCCCACTATGGGACGCCATCGCACCAACCCACTCTTCAACGGCCACAGCGGCCACATTGCGCCTCCTCAGCAGTCGCAGTTTGACATGGGGCCCAAGTCTTTTGTTAAGTCCAACCAGGTAATTCAGCTCAGAGTGAATAGATGTGTGTCTGACTGTAATCGTTTTTTAGCGACAGCAAATGACACTTGAATGTTTGGCAGGTTCAGAACCAACATTTCCTCAACCAGAGCCAGAACCACATGAGCCAGCAGCAGGCTCAGTCCAAGGACATGCCTCCACGTTTCAGCAAGAAAGGACAGCTCAATGCAGATGAGGTTAGTAGGACAAGCTGTTGGAGGAGCTCATTGTCAGATGGTCTCAACTTAAAGGAACAGTTCAGAACTTTTGAAGTGAGGTTCTGTTAAAAAGTCAAAGCAGTTAATATCCTACCTGTTATAGATGATTTTTGTCTCCCTCATTTTCTACACCCAGGTTACTTCAAAGCAAACTCCTGTATCTAAAATTGAGGAATTAAAATGTCTTAATTTTATCTAAAAAAGGAGAAAGGTTGGTCTTAAATATGTTAATCACAGGTCTTAAATATTGTCATGCAGGGCGAATTAAGCTCCTATATATTCTGTCACACGCAGACGCCTTTGAGAGTTTCACTGCATTCTGTGACTTTAGGTAGATGGGGCTACGGCTAACTAGCAGCTAATAAACCTTGCTAACTAAATGGCAGGCAAAGATAAACCTAGCTAGGGTTTTATGTCGGTAATGATTTGGCTATTTGGCTGGTTGCTGATGGTTGTAGGCGTCGACTCGTTTCTGTTGCTAGTCAGTATTTATACATAAAGTTCTCTTGTACATTTTATTATAATTTCAGGTCTTAAAAATGATCTGAAAAATTCTTAAATTTGACTTGGTGAAACCTGCAGAAGCTCTCAGTCTCTCATAGACATCTTTATTGTCTGTGAATGAGGCAGTTGAGGCTACCGCTAACTAGCTGCTTATATACCCTTGCTGGCTGGCTAGCTAACTTGTTTTTTGCATCTGTCATGGGTGACAATGCAAGTCCAAAGTGAGCTTCTATTGTCTAAAAACAACTTGAGTGTGGATTATACAGGTGGTTTTTTTTTTTGTCTTTTTTTATTAGAAACCTTGAAACAACATTATGTTTGGCATTTATTATAATGGTAGTAGTTTGCGTTGGTCTCGAACTAGCTGTTGGCTTCATCCTTCAGGATTTGCTAATCTGTTAGAAGATGCTGGGAGTTTATCTACCATAGGTGAAGACTGTTTTTAATTTAACAGAACCTCATTTTAAAATCTAAAAAGCAATCCCAACTAAACCATCTTTTTGTTGGAGCCTGAATGCCCAGTGATTATAAAAAGACGCGTTATTCTGAGGAACCCAACCTGCTGTCAGTCTGTCTTCTGCTCTCCGCTCCGTCTCCATCTCCTCTCATCTTCCTCTACCTCCACCTCCTCATCCTCACTTTGGCAGCAGGTCCACTGACTGCGATTATGAGATATGAGGGCATCGCTTCTGAAAAAGTACACACAATTTAGATGCAATTTCAGCTCCAGGTTGATTCCTCTTTGTGTTCTCTGTGCTGTCTCCAGATCAGCCTACGGCCGGCTCAGTCATTCCTCCTCAACAAGAACCAGGTGCCCAAGCTTCAGCCTCAGATCCCCACTATGATGCCTCCCAGTGCTCAGCCGCCCCGCACCCAGACCCCTCCACTAGGACAGGTAGGAGAAGACGGGGACAGACTGACTTAAAGGGGCAGTATTATGTGCGGAAAAAACTTTTATTTTTTAGTTTTACATTATGTTATAATGTTGTTCTTTTATCAAAAACATAATAATATAAGGAACGCATAATTACCGCCCCTTTAAAAATGGGCCCTTATGTAATGTTTTAATAAGAATGTGTAATTTTCATATTACATAACCCCCTGCTGTCTTCCGTCAGCCTCCACAGCTTGGCCTGAAGACCAACCCTCCACCCATCCAGGAGAAACCCCAGAAGACCAACAAAAAGCCGCCTCCTGCTAAAGAGGAGCTTCTGAAAACCACAGTAAGAGAAGCAGACATGCTGATGGTGGAAAACCCACCGTCAGTGAAGCTCCTGCTCATTCCAGTGTCGTTTCATCCTCTCACCAGGAGGCCATCATGACTGAGTACTTGAACACGAAGAACCTGACTGAAGCCGTGGGCGGCGTGCGGGAGATGAAAGCGCCGAAGCACTTCCTGCCAGAGATGCTCAGTAAGATCATCGTTTGCTCCCTGGACCGGCCCGATGAAGACAAGGAGCACGCCAGCACTCTGATCCACGCCCTGCGCGCCGACGGCCTCATCACCGGAGAAAACTTCATGCAGGTACAGGAAGCTGATGGGAACGCACAGAGCTGAGACGCAGCACACAGAACGGCTCCAGACAACATTTTGACAAAACCCCCACAGAGGCTCTCATCTTCAGCAAGGGGCAGAGTAGAAACATGGGGCACAAATCTGTAAAGATGTTTTGCTGCAAAAGACTTGATAAAAGTGTGGAAGTTCATCTTCCAAGCAGTTAATCATGATGATTTAAAATAAGGTTGATCATTTCCATTCTGATATTTCTTTGAAGGGAAATTTTGTGTGGTTTTTATTTCCATTTTTTGTTTTTGGTCACTGTGTTTTGGATATTTAAAATATCTTCCTATTCCAGTGTTAAGTATTCTTTACATAACTATTTATTGGTCTCAAGATGGCAAACTTGCATTATTTCATTCTCATTATAGCACTTGAAAACCACAACATACCGTCCCGTTCATGTATGGTGATAATTTATTTTCCTGTAAAATTTTTTGAGATGGTTCCAGTGAGCCTTTCCTTTGTGGAGCTGAACACAAATGGACTCCACTTCTCCATTTTTTTTCCCCTCCAGAGTTTTTAAACAAAAATAATTATCATATTCTCTGGACTACAAGTCACATCAGTCAAACAGTGTATAAAAGTCACATTTATTCCCACCAGGCTTTCCTCAACGTCCTGGACCTGTGCCCAAAGATCGAGCTGGACGTGCCTCTGGTGAAGTCCTACCTGGCCCAGTTTGCAGCTCGGGCCGTCATGGCGGAGCTGGTGAGCGTGGCGGAGCTGGCCCACCCGCTGGAGAATGGCACCCACTTCCCACTCTTCCTGCTCTGCCTGCAGCAGACGGCCAAGCTGAAGGACCGCGAGTGGCTCACTGAGCTCTTCCAGCAGAGCAAAGTCAACATGCAGAAGATGCTTCCAGGTACAGAGCTTGTTGTTGTTTCAAACATGTAAAAATAAACGGCAACAAACCTCTCAGATGGTTCAGAAAGTGTAATTAGGAATTCTAAATATAATGTAGAATAAATAGCATGTTGTTTCTCAGATAACAAAGGACAGAATTGGACTGAATCAGTCTGTCCTTACGGATTGGGAGTACTGTCACCAATGCCCGATTATAGATGTTTATTTTTTTACCCAATATTGTAACCGATACTGATAATAAACAGTTGATATCGGATCTGTGCATCACTATTATAGAACGGTTGAAGAAAAATGACCCCGTCTTCCTTAATTGGCAGAGTGGGCCGAGAATACAGCCTTGAGGAACTCCACAAATCAAAGGAGCTGTGGAAGAATAGCAGTCTCCTAAATGGACATAAGTGACCACCTCCATTTTTCATTTTTCTTTTGGCAGAAATCGATCAGAACAAGGACCGCATGCTGGAGGTTCTGGAGGGGAAGGGGCTGAGCTTCCTATTCCCACTGCTGAAGCTGGAGAAGGAGCTGCTGAAGCAGATCAAGGCCGACCCATCACCACAGTCCATCTACAAGTGGATTAAAGACAACATCTCACCCAGGCTGCACACCGACAAAGGCTTCGTCAACATCCTCATGACAAGGTGCGCTTCAGCCCCGACAGCTCCACGTTTCTATTGGCAGAACAAAACTTTGTGACCATCATTTGACCTGTGCGTCTGGTTCCAGTTTCCTCCAGTACATCTCCCAGGAGCTGTGTATGGCGGAGGGTGACGACCAGCTGGCAGCCCCCTCCAAGGAGCAGCTGGAGCAGGAGAAGCAACTGCTGCTGGCCTTCAAACCCGTCATGCAGAAGTTCCTGCACGACCACACCGAGCTGCAGGTCAGCGCCCTGTATGCGCTGCAGGTGCACTGCAACGCCAGCAGCTTCCCTAAAGGTACGGCAGCGTCAGGTGCTTTTATTTCTCATTTAAGACGTGCTTTTAGTTCATTTTTGTTTTTCTTTCTCCTATAAGGTATGCTGCTGCGCTACTTTGTCAACTTCTACGACATGGAGATCATTGAAGAAGAAGCCTTCCTAGCATGGAAAGAAGACATCACTCAAGAATTCCCTGGAAAAGGAAAAGCTTTATTCCAGGTACACAGCTGTCAAAACTTAAGATTCTGAACTAGAAAAAAAATCAGCTGCTGAATACAATTTGGTGACTTTTTTTTTTCTTTTCTAGTTAACAGTCTGACAACTGACAAATTTGATCTTTTCTCATTCAGCAAATGCACTGCACACTAAAGCGCTGCAACGTTGTGGTGGACACTGTTTTACTTTAAAATTGATAAAATGGATGAAAAAGACTTGCCGTACATTCTGAAAATATTGTATACTGAACTGAAAATTTGGCAATTATTTTCAGCATCTGGTTCTCAGGATCACTTGGCTGCATGTTTCAGTTTTTCTTCTGCCTGCACTTTGATGGCATGAGGGATGTGCACAGCGTTTCCTCTATTATCCAACGGGGGGCGCCCCAGCCCAACAACACCATCCACCTTCCCCCCACCAGGGGGCCCTACTAGTGCTTTTAAACAAACAAAAACGTTCAACATCCTGTTCGAGTTCCTAAAGACAAATCTGTATTGCAGCTCCAAACTTTACCAGGCATTGCAATGTTAATGTAAATTCCATCTCACCGCTCAGTTCAGACACTAAGCGTTGGAAAACTAACTTAATTTTTTCTTCATCCTGTCAGGTGAACCAGTGGCTGACTTGGCTGGAGACGGCAGAGGAAGAGGAGTCTGAGGAAGAAGCAGACTGAGAAACAGAGCAGAAGCATCATGACCTAGATCCGCCATTTTGTTGTTCTCACACACACTTTTATTATTTTAACACCACACTTTATTTAACCACTACCACACGGCGCTGAGTTGCTTCCGTCAATCTAAACCCAAGGCTTGTTAACTCGTTGGGCTGAGAAGCATCGTTTGACCTGTTGCCTAAAGTGGATGTTTGGATTGTTTTTTTTATTATTATTATGTTCTTGGATCTGTGTTCAGTCAGCTACACATGGAGTTTAAAGTGACTTTATCCTGTTTATTTCCTTGTTTTTGCTTGGTTTACTTTTTCACTTTGCATGTTTTTTTTTCTTCCTAATTTGAAACTTTTTTCGACTTATTTTCCTTCAGGTGAAAAAGAGAGAAAAAAATAAAGAGCTTAATAGATATTTAAATACATCTATGAAACGGTGTTGATTATAATCATTACATTCAGGTGCGATCCTAAGAAACGGCAGTAAGGATTTGGTGATTATCAGAAAAAAAAAAAGGCCCAACAAAGAGAATACGAAGCAGAAAACTTTTTTTTTTGGTGTTAAAAAACCCCCATCTGTTTTATTAGAGCATAAATCTTCTGCATGACCAGGAGGTGGCCCTGTTTTCTCCTGCTTTGTATTGTGTATGACGAGTGGTTGCAAGACTCCTCTTCAAGATGTTACAACAGTCGGAAAAAAACGTGATCATTGTTGTGGCGCTGAACCGTTTCCAACTCTGCCTGTGTTTCTACCTCTTAGTTATAGATGGGCTTTTTGTTCTCATGATGAAATTAAATAATGAGTCAAAAACAAACAAAAAGTTGAGCATTTCATTCAGTCCTGGCCTGATTGCACACTGTAAACATTTCCAAGAAGGCTTCTTCACATGGGATTACAAGTATTAATATTCAGAGAAGGAAACGTCATTTCTGCAGCTTAGTAACCTGGTAGAAACCTACCCATAATGCAGTTTTGTTGCAGAGTGTGGAGGGAGGGGATGGAAGTGGCTTATTTGAAATCTCAGCGTAAACGTGTCTCTTTTGGTGGGTGGAAAACATGTAACAACTAAACAGTTAAAAAAAAAAAAACGTACCCAGATTATGCTGATAAGCCATGTGTATGTGTAGGGTAATGAATATGAATCTTATTGTAAGGTATTCATAATTATTGTGCACCTCTGTTGCTTTAATGTCAATAAAGTCCAGTACATGAGCACCAGTAGTTGTCATTGTTTTTTACTGCTTCTCTTTACAGGTTTGAAGAGAAGTAAGATACAGAGAGCTGTTTCACCCAAATTACTGTTTATAGAATATTAAATACTCCAAACAAATACAATGGGAAGGTTATTTCAATCTTTATTTTGTAAAGCTACTTTATGCATTTCAGGGACTTTTTATCTTTTTATTTTTACTTTTTATTTTAAGGTCTTTTTCATATTGTCTTCAAATAAGTGGGGGAGTTCTCAATTGTACAAAAAAAATATCACAAACCATTATAAAATAATGAAATACATTTTGAAAGTAAAACTGGAATTAACAAAAATAAGCTTTTTATATCCAAGAAGCTTATTTAATGGGTACATTATACTTTTGTATGAGGAAATGATTTACACTAAATACAAGTAAATGTCTTGACATATTATAGAATTAAATTAGCATCAATATTAATACTATTAGCTACTATTAATATGCTTAACTACTGGAATGTTGTAAGCACATGATTGAATGTGCATTAATCTGAAACCTGAACGTAGAATGAACATATATTGCTACAGTACTTGTGAATGTGAAGAGATCATAATAGTGATGCTGCTGGAGAAGTGATGGGCTTTAGTAAGTTTATACCTCTACCTACTTATTATTTCTTATACTACTATCATTTTACTTTAATTTAGAATGTTCAAAAGCTTCAAAAATAAAAAATGTATATTAATGGACTATTTACTAACTTAGCTAACATGTTGGGCTGAAACACGGATGGTTTCCTGGAATAGAGCCGTTCTTCATTCCTGGTCTGTAGGGATCCAGAAGTACTCCACCACCTTCCTGCCCCGCCGTGAGGGAGCCGAGCCAGGGCGCTCCCCATCGAAGGCGGGCAGTTCGTCGAAGTGACTGGGGCCCGGGTCCCTCCCCATGTGTGGGGCTGAGACCCTCAGCATGGTCCTGCAGGAGGACGATAAAAAGTTTTTACCTCTTTTAGCTGCAACGTGTCATCAGATCAGACCACCTTCAGAGGGTTGTAGCTGGTGTGTCTGTCGCCCCCTGGTGGCCACAGATTGCACAACACAAGCAGTCGACCTCTGATTTTGTGACTTTTGGATTAATAGTTAGCAATTTTCTTTTAACAAATGTAAATATTTACCATACACATTGAAAAAAATGCTTAAAGATATAGCTTTTATGGACCACATTTATTTGCTCAGAACATTCAGCACCTGAAGCGACTACAGATACCAATTTTTCAGTGTCCAGCAATTTGATTTTATTCAGAAATCATTTTTAATTCAGAGACCAATTTTTCTATTCAAATGTTCTAGAGATTCTGTTTAAATGATGGGAGTCACAAGAGGAAAAGACAGTGTAAACAAATCCAAAACTTATGTAAAACAATTTTACAAAGCTCCAAATTCTATGAGTTTATATTTAGACAAATACAGGCTTGTGCATAAAAATCTGTAACTTAAATCACTGGTAATAGGTTAGCTTAGCTGCCTGGTTTTTCACTTAAATAAAATAATTATTCAAAATATTATTTTACAAAAAAAATTAAACAGACTAAAATTGATTTTTGAGCATTTTGAATACATTCAGAGTTACCAAGACTATGAATGGTGATTCTCTACAGAATCGGTTTTTTTCTGTACTTCTAAAAGTGACTATTTGCTTTAGCCTCAGAACAGCCAGTTTGATCCTCAGTTATCTGTATCGGTACTGGAAGTAAAAAAAAAAAGTGGATCGGTGCATCCCTAGCAGGAATAATTTTTTTTTCAAATCAGTAATTGATCTGGACAGAGTTGTCAGACTGAGAACGACTCTACCTGGATGAACTTCTCTCAGGCTCTTCAGATCTGTCGTCCGGTGTGCTGATATATACAGGATCTCCTTCCTGTGCAGAATTCACAGAAGTGATGTCAATGTGCATTTTTATTTCTGTTGTGTAGTTGAACTGACTTTAGGAGAATATGCTTACTGTGAAATTCCTTGGCGTTCCATCTGGATTTTTCAGGATTTTTACCCGCTGATTGCTCTCAGTCATACACAGGAAGTAGCTCTTGATGTTGGCCTGACACTGTGTTGGAAACACAAATTAGATTTATATTCAGCTGCCATGAGTCACTACTTTACGGAATCACTTTATGCTGAACTTCGGTTGATTTCCACCTTATCTGCACATCTCCAAGTCAGTAATATTTTTTCCATTCTTCTTTAAATAATAAACTTAAGTCATATTCAATTAAAAATAAATGAGGACATGAATGTTCCATTCTTGCGACAGCTTCTCACTTAACTTTAACTTGGACACTAACATCTCCCTCAATTTAAACTCTTTAATTTCTAGCTCTAGCCTGGTTCTGAACCTTGACGCAGATTACCAGTGTTTATTCCAGAATTGCCCATTAAATTAGCTTAATTAAACTTATCACCAATTCATTAATATCACAAAAAGTTTTAGCATAGAGCTAAAATTTTCACTTAAAACTCACTTAAAGCTAAATATTTAGCTTTAAAGTTCAGAACAATAGTTTGGAACTAAATATTTCCCTTAAACCTAAATATTTCCCTCAGAGCTATAAACTAAACTAAAATTACCTTACTAAATAATTATTTAGCCTGTTTACTTGTTAGAAGCTAAATATTTAGCTTGCTAAGGAAATATCTTTCAAACTAAAGTTTTCCCTACAAAGCAAATTTTTTGTTTGAAATTGGCAGTTATAAATGAGTGTATAACATTTGTGAAAATATGACTTTGAAAAAAAATATCTGCATTTTTTTTCCTGTAGGACGACAGACTAAATAATTGCTGCTAATTTTAGAATGTGTAACTTTCAAAGCGAAAAAAAAAAACTTTAAAAACGGCAACCCACAGCCACATGAAGTTGCTTTGTCGCGTAAAACACTTTGACGTTTGTGGTGGTAACTTCACCAAGGTGACAAAGTTCAAGGTCTCTGAACGTGAAGTCCTTACAGCTTTGCTCCGCCTCTGAGCTTTCAGATCCTCGTGAGCTTGGAGGATGTTAGCTAACTCGTGGTGCTTCTCCCTCCAGCTGAGGCACTCCGCCGTTTTCTCCTGCCTCTCTTTGTTGGCCTGACGCCTCTCATCCTCGGCCTCTCGCTGAGCCTGGTTGGCTCTTTGCTTCTCCTCCTCCGCCGCCGTCGCTTTACGTCTCAAAGTCATCTCACTGCAAGCAGAATACACGAAATAACATCCCAACACACCCGAAGTATTTTTGTTTCCATTTTCAGGTTAGCCTCGATGGAGCTAACAAACGCTCACTGGCAACGTTTAGCCACCAGGGGGAGTATGTTATCCATCCATTTCCTTTACACCCTTGTCTCTCAGTGGGGTCGGGAGGGTTGCTGGTGCCTATCTCCAGCTAACGTTCCAGTCGAGAGGCGGGGTACATCCTGGACAGGTCGCCAGTCTGTCGCAGGGCAACACAGAGACAAACAACCATGCAGATACACACTCACACCTAGGGGCAATGTTTCAGACTGCGGGAGGAAACTGGAGTACCTGGAGAAAACCCACGCATGCACAGGGAGAACATGCAAACTCCATGCAGAAAGACCGGGGCCAGGAATTGAACCCAGAACCTTCTTGCTGCAAGGCAACAGCTCTACCAACTGCGCCAGTATGTTATTTGGATGTAATTTGTTAAACATCCAGAGTATAGGTATGTGAATGATGTGAGGCATTGGCACTACTTGAACAGCAGCAGAGGGGAGGATAACCAGATCACCAGAGGAACGTTCAACCTTTGAAGTTGCAGTTTCTTTCAACACAGTAAATACATACAGGGCTTCACTGAACATCTTCAAACTGCCAGTCAGTTTTCAAACTGTCAAAGGAAGCAAGTAGTGTTTGTTGCGCAGATCTGCTCATTAGTTCAGATGTGGGTGCATGAATAGACATTTGTGCGCGCACACACACACACGCACGCACATGCGCACGCACGCAAGCACACATCACACACACACATTAGTGTGCCACTCTACAGCACTTCTCTGCAGGTGAAAGAAAGGCAAGCACAGCCTCCAAAGCAGCATTTCATGGGAAAGGACTTATAAGGACTACCAGTAGGCCATTAACTGGGCTCAATTGAATGTAATTTGACTGTAGTTTCACATTTGAGAAAAGAAATGCAGAATTTATTGAAGTAATAGTTTGCACTGCTGGTTTTTACAGTTTGGTTCCATTAATGTATGTTAAGATATTTAATGCAAAAACTTCTGTCCTAAGAAAAAGAAAAAAATGTAATTCTAAAATGTTTGGATTTGTTTGATTCAACCAGACATGGAATTTAATAATTTAATACTTGAATTTATGGTTAAAATTGTAAAAGAAATGTATGTCTAAGGTTAAAAATGGAATTAGTCATTAAAATAAATTATTAACTTTGAACCAAATGTCTAAAATGTATGTTAAAATATTTTGTAGGCTTTTCACCGGTTCATTGGTTCTCACTCATTGGTGAAAATAAAAAAGATTGAGTGAATTCCTGAAGTCTCTTCAAGTCCTCCTTTTCAAGTGTAGGAAGCCATGAAATCATAGGACACTTTACAGTGTTTTATCATCATAATTATCTCATTTCATGTCTCATTTTGTATAAAAAACACAGAAGAACTGAGGTATAAGGCCTAAAAATGCATCCCTTCCACATTATCCAATCAGATACAATAAATCTTACTGTCCTCATCTGGATTCTGGTATTTTCTCCTATAACTCTCTCCAGAGTTATGGAAGCTCACAGAGACCAACTCCATGCCTATCAAAACACCAAATTTCAAACAAATTTGTCACCTTGGTGAAATTTTAAATTTCAAACCAGTCTGTACTGGTTGTGCAATTATGAAGCCTTTTGAAGTCTCCTGGATGTCCAAGGAAATTCTGACTTACATCTTCATTTTTGCACCTCCCCCCCCCAAATGTTCCACTGAGCGTTTAGGGGCAAAGGTAAAAGGAAACTGGTAACTCGAATATAGTAAAATTGTTACCAGAAATGAAAATGAGTTCCAAATTTATGGCGAATAAAAATCCAGGGCATGCATAATCAGCCCTCTTTAGTCGTGGCCCCAAAGTGCAAACCAGTTCAACAACTCACTAAACACAACTACAGATTTAAAAACACAACATATTGAAAAAATCAGCAACATCAACTAAGTACAACTACAAATTACAAAACATGATGATGTTAACAAAATGGAAGAAGTAGCTTCCAGTGGGAAACCTGAGACATTGCTGATTGGATGACATTACTGTTGACTTTAGGACTGTGTCATTCTGGCATTTGCTCTCTCTTTGTTTAGCTGGGGGCGTGGAGACATATTGGCCAAACTATGAAAAAGAACCAAACTCTTTTACTTCGTAGTTTGTCCTGACTCAAAATATTCTTATGTAGCAGTGGATATCAACAAATGCGCTAAAGCCAGAACAACTTCCGGTTCTACACCCAAAAGTGGAATCGTCCAATGTGTCAGGTTTCCCCACTGTGACCTACCTCTTCCGTTTGGTTAGTCGTTGTGTTTTTATATTTGTAGTTGTGCTAGGTGAATTGTTGAAGTGGTTTGCACTGTAGGACCACTGTATTCTTTAAAATTCCCCAAAATAAGATCCAATATAATTAATTGGCCTCAATTGATTGGTGATCTGTTTCAGCTAGTGGTCAAGGAGAGCCTTAATCACAGAAACTACCATAATGTCTAAAGTAAGTTCAGGCCCACGCCACATCACCTTGAACACACCATTCCCAAGGTGAAACATGGAAGCTTTTTTCCAACAGATGAGCTAGTCAGAGTTGATGGGAAGAAAGATGGTGCTAAAAATCTGTTGAAAACTCGAAAAATGTTTGCTTGGCTGAGGTTCAACAACAGTATTTTGGACAGTTACATTCAATTTTGGTGGAGATGAGGTGCTAAAACAGCCAGTCAGCCATCGCCGGTGTACCTTTCTTTAATCTGGACGTTCTCCTGTGTGATTTGCCTCAGCTTGAGTCGCAGCTCATCCCTCTCTGCCCCCAGCCTCTTGTTCTCCTGCAGCAGACTCTGTTTCTCCCCAGAAAGCCGCTCCAGCTTCAACTTGGCCTCAAAGTAGCTCTTCTCCGTTTGCGCCAGTGTGAGCTGCAGATCGGCGAGCTGCGAAAACCAAAGGCTGAAGTCAGAACAGGCACAGCAGCTCACAATCCATTCAGTTTCATTTACTTATGTAGTGTTTTTTTTTTTTTTTTTCAGTGTGGTTGTTGTACGGACATAACTTGTGACTACAGAGAGATGGAGAAGCACTGATGGAAAGCTACAGCAGTTCTGGCCTTTTGACAGTTAAACAGCTGATGCTTGATGTTTGACTTGTTTGAGTTGAGTTGGCTATGTTTTGTTTTGAGTGAGGAGAGAAGGTGGATGGGTAAATCTTTTAAATCTTATCAGCAAACTTGAGACTTTGTCTATAATATTCAGAAATAACTTTGAACATTTCTTCTTTTTTTTGACACTCCTTAATATTTTAGATGATCAAACCTATTTTAATATCAGACAAAGATACTAAAAAAATAAAATAAAATAAAAAAAAGAGAGCTATCAAGCCTTCCTGGACCTATGTGGAAAGAAGTAATTGCCCCCAAAACTTAAAAAGTTTTTCTTCCACCCTAAGAATCAACAGACACTTCTGACTGTAGCCACAGACGGAGATTTTTCCGTCACTGTGGAGGAATTCTGTCCCATTCTTCTTTGGATATTTTTTTGTTCAGCCAGACTGACTTTTAAACCACAAATGTGCAAACAGAGTTAAATTTGGATTTACTGCTTTAGCTCATTTTGAAAATGTTTAGCGCACTTAGCTTCCTTTGAATTAAATTTTCAAGATAAACTGTAAAGTGCCAAATTTCTTGAATGCTTGTAAACTTCCAGTTGAATACAGTTCAACTTTTGTGTTAAAGTTTTGGTTATTAAATTAAATTATTAAATTAGAAGTTTGTATTCGTGCTCTTATTTTGAAGTGAACGAAGCGTGTTTACTCAGCAGTTCTGTTTCCTCTCATACTCTGTCTCTTTTCTTCCCCCTAAAACTATAGAATAAACATGCAAGGATAAAATAAAACGCAGAGAGCAGAGAGCAAAAAATAAACATCAATACAATATCAAAGGGCATTATAGAACATGTAAATTACAAAGTCAAAGTTTAATTTATGCTTGAGAGTTGTACTCTTTGAAGGGCAAATACAATTTAAACTTGGACTCTACATGGAGTCTTATGTAAATTAATCAGTTTTTGTTGCAGGTTTTTGTTGCGGTGTGAATGTGAGGTGAACATGAGTTGACCTGCTTCTTGAGCAGCTGCAGCTCTTCGCTCAGCCGCCTCTGGTCCGCCTCAGCCGTCTCCTTGTCGCGCTGACAACCGAGGGCCCGAGCCTCAGCGGAGGCCCTGCTCCTCTCAGCCTCGCCCCGGGACTCCTGCGCCTCCTCTGCCGCTCGGGAGCAAAATGTCGCCCTCTGCTGGCTGTGATGCAACTTCTGCTTCAGCTTAAAAGACGAACAAAAGGGAGGAGTTGGGCGTGTGCTGACGGGTGTGTTTTAAATAGGCAACCTGAAATTCATTTGAACCTCTCTCTGAAGGAGCGGAGCTGCTGGTTTCTGTGCTGTTCTAAACTCACCTCCTTCACTTGCACCTGCAGCTCCTGGTTCATGTTGCGGAGGTTCCTCATCGTCAGCTCGTTCTCCGTGCGCATCATGATCCGCTCCATGTGGATCTCGTTTGACAGGAACTTGTTTTCTCTCTTCAGGTCCTCGCATTCCTGAGGAGTGTACATCGATGAGGAGGGAAAGCTGCAGTTTGTTTTGGAAACATGATGACCTGCTGAATGAAAATGATTAATTGTGTTATTCTAGTAAATTAATACACGTCAACGCTTTGGAAGCTTATTTTTTGATATCTCCCCATCCCGACAAATCAAAGAACATTAATGTTCTTACTGCTTATACTAATCAAGTGGAATGATTTATGTGTTGCTCCTTTTTTTTTTTTTCTTTTTGGCTAATTTGAACCCATAATTAATCTAAAGTGCATTCCAGCTGAAGGCTGGGTGTTCATATGGTCTGCAGACTCTAAGGTTATGATGAGTTTATTTCGTGACATCTCCCAGAAGCTTGGATGATATACAGAGTTTTGAAAAAACAAGAAAAAGAAAATAAAAGAAAAAGGTTTAGCCTCTTAAATCTTTTTATATGTCATCATATTACAACCACAAATTTCAAAATCATTTAATTTGGGCAGAACTAAATTGTGAAGAGGAGGTAAAATAATACCTGGCTTTTGAAAATGTTTACAAATTAACAAATTTTAGCTTTTACATGTGGTTTTGCATATTGAATGGAGCACATTCTAGCCTACATGCTATCATTAGTGTTTTAGCTAGCATTAGCGTTTAGTTAATTTTAGCTTTAATGTGGGGTTTTCACATTGAGTGTTACTGTAAGTCAACATGTTACTGATGGCCTACAGCATCAATAACTGTAAGTCATAAAATACTAATGACCACATGCGATCATTAATATTTTAGCTAGCTTTAACTTCTAGCTAATTTTAGCTCTGACATTGTTTTTTGATGGAGTATGTTACCTTAGCCTTACCTCATCTAGCTTTAGCATTTTAGCTTATAGACTCTTATGACCTTATGGTTTGGCTTCGTAAGCATCAATCTGTTCTGCACCAACCTCTGACACTCCTTAGCTGGGATCTGAGCTCTGACTGAAAGTTTTCACTCTTCAACTGTTTTTCTCCACACGTTTTGCAGGCTTTTGATTTTTTTTCTCCCGCTGCTTCTGCCTATTTCTTACGTTTCTGCAGTTTTTCTGCAGTCAACTTCAAAATATTCTGCCATTTTCATCAGTAACATTCAGCTTACAGCATTTTCACAAGAAATAAACATTGCCCAAGTTATGCCCGACTTTGTGCTAATCCACCATACGTACTCTAATAACCTTAAAATGAGAAAATATAAAAATGATTTTGCAAAGTAAATCCACAAATCCATGTTTGCTACTTTTTTTCTTTTTTTTTACCTCTAGGGCTTTCCATTAGAAACAGCGTAGTAGCCACATTTACACACAGTTTAACAACCTATCAACAAAAGAATCATTCCTCAAACCTTTTATCACTGACAAGTTGTGAGACAGTGAGTTGGGGAAAGCGTTTGCAAGGCGCTTCCTGTCGGACGGTTTCCCGTCAGAGAGGAAAGAAAATCTCTCCTCTCTGTTTTGTGATGAGCTCCACAGTCATTTGTTAATTTTTCAAATGGCTTCATGACACCGTTCTGCGGTCAGTCATGACCTTGTCCAGTAGATCCCTCTGTACCGTCCTTACCTTCCTCTTCCGAACCAGTTCCCCCTGCAGGTGATTAATCTGTAGGAAGGATCCGCCGGCGCTGACCGGCCTCACCGCCCGAATTGGCCTCCTGGGTCCCCTGGGGAGAACTTTGACCTCTTCTGTCACCCCGTACCCAAAGTGCCCGCTTCTGTTAACGCCGCTGCTGCTCATGGAGAGAGATTTGTGAAAGCCGTCCTCCGTCGAGGACTTGCCAACTGTCTGTAGGTCCGTATGGGATTTGGCTCTAATGGACATGTTGGTACCAGGTGGCTGTAGCTCCACCAGAAGGCCTGCTGTTGTTGATCGTAGCAATGAAGCCCTAAGAGAAGAGCGGGGCCGTTTGGGACGACTCACTGAATGAACGTCTCAGTCTGGTGTCCGGTTCACGGGGAGTATCCCATCACCAACTGTCATTCAGTATTAATCAGGTAACGTGATCACAGCTACACCTGAAGGGAGGGAGGTAAACACAGGTGGGTCTGAAACACCTTGACGTCGGGTCATACCAGAGTTTTACAGCCTTTTCATTTATTTTTTACACTTTTCTAACACTCTAGTTTGTTCTTCAGATTAATGCAACAGGATTTATGTCATTAAAAAGGTGGAAAATGTTCTGGGATGGTTCAAATAAACGAGAGTCAAATGATGAGCAGAACGGTATAAAATAACAGAAATTAGGGTTGATTGTTAATTTGGTTTTCTATGCGTTTGATCTGTTAACTACAATTGGGGCCTGAAAAAAATAAAATAAAATTACAGGAACAAACTCAAAACATTACATGAATAAAGTTGTAATATTCTGACTTTACATTACAGAGGATTATGTTCTCTTCTTTGTTACTATTCTCAGTAAAGTCGTAATATTACGACCTTATTCTCAAAATGTTACAACTTTGTTCTTGAAACATTACGACTTTATTCTTGTATTAATTCGACTTTATTCTCATAACATCACAGCTGTTCTTGTAATACTTTGACTTTATTCTTGTAATGTTCCAATTTTAGTCTCAAAATATGACTTTATTTTCATACTGTTTCAGCTTTATTCCCACAATATAACGATTATTCTTGTAATAATCGTAATATTGTGTTATGATCTGTATGTGTTGTAATATGATGACTATTATGGAATTTTAGGACTTTTTTCTTTTTAAAAAAAATTTTCACTGAGGTGACATTAAACTATTTTAATCTGTAGAACAACAACAAAAAAACACCAACGTTGAACAGGAAGTAGCTCTTCCTACTCCACTGATAGAGCCAACAATTCTGCTGGAAATGCTTGCAAAGCAGGAAATATTTATACCACTGAACTACACACCCAACAGAGTGAAACTATTCCTTCACTTAGTTTTTTTGTTTTGTTTTTTACAAAAAAAGCATCAGTTCAGTGACTCAGGTGCTGATCTTTTCTTTTAATAGCAGAGGTTTATGTTCTCTGATTTATTTCTATTGGAGTTCTCAACACTTCCTGTCATCCCACTTTAATGTTTCCTGGACTTCCTCTATGATCCCAAACACGGTACTTCATATGCCGTGTTTGTCATCTATCTGCAATCAGACGAGCAAAACATCTGAATCCGACCGAATGTCACGTTGATGTTTACTGTATGTGTCTGAAAGGCCAGCAGGCAGAGCTGACCTCACGCTTCCTGTTTCCTTCGGCCCTCGTTGGTTCTGGATGCTCCTTCACATTCACCTCACACAGAGAAACATGGCGGGTCGGTTCTGCTTCATGTCCGTTTTTCTGCTGCTCTTTATGTTGCAGCTTTCTGCCTCCAGTCTAAGTAAAGGTAAGAGATCTGCTTTATTTTTACAATAATTTATTTATTTATTTATTTATTTACACTTTGTAATGATTTTATATTATGGTATAAAGTGAGAATGCAGCTGCAGAATTGTTACATCTGTTTTCACGTATAATTTTAAGGCATTTTGTTCTTTTGTATTCAGAAAATATGAACTAAACTAAACTAACTGAACTAAACTTTCTTTCTTAAAACCAGGATTAACTTTGTATTGCTATTTATGTTATCAGAATCATATTTATTAGTCAAGTATTTTTAATGTTTTAGTGCAGAGCGTTCAGAGGATTTAATTTTTTTAAAAGAAATGAGAGAGAAAAAACATGCTAATAGATCACATGGCTCTTTCACTGTGGTTCTAGTACCACTTGTGGGCTTTTAGGGGGTACGCTGCAGATATCTTAGTAATACAATGTGATAAATAGAAACAAATGGGCTGCGATGTGGAGCTTATAAAACCCAAAAACCTAAAAACATGAGTTGTTGCAGTAGGTAGAACTTTAGATCGTCAGAAATGTCTCAAAGGAGGAGTGCAGTGGGAGGGACTTTTCATCAAATCAAAGAAGTGCTAAACTGAACATCTTGCCTAACAAAATGTACTTTTAACGTTTATCTCTGTAACGGTGTGTAAGCAAGTGGAGCAGTACTAGATGACGTCCTGTGTGTCAGCAGCAGATTATCTGTATGAGCAACTTTCTTGTCACCATGTTGAATCTGGAAGTGATTTCCATATTTAAACAAGAGTTCTAAGAAGCTTTAGATACCATTATAGTATCTAAAACTCTAAGTAGCGCCATACTTAAACATTTTAAACTGTAACACAAGAAGTCACCAACATTTTTCTATACTTTTATGTCGTTACCAACTATTAGTTCTGTTGTAACTTCAGTTTATGCTGCAAGTTTTGGGAATTTTCTCCACAGTACTTGACTTTCTACTCAAACATCTAATCTTTCGGTCTCTGTACTAGTTTTGTGTTTATTGTACTTTTTATTTTGTCACAGAGAAAGCCACAGAACCACCACTGGTGGTTCTTTTCAATAGTTCGAGAACCTGGGCCGAAAGCAAACTATAATAAAATCTACACCTTTAAAGGTTAGAATTACCACGTTTTGCCATTTGTTATGTTAACGACACGTATCGATTTTGCAACATTTTCAGTCGTGGTCCAGACGGACAAACCCACAGGAATCTTCCTGCTGATTGACGGAGGAGATTACACTTTGAACTTCACCGACGCACAAGCGGCGTGTTCGCTTCTGAAGGTCACCATAGCAACAATAGCTCAGCTGGAGGAAGCAGTACGGCACGGACTGGAGACATGCAAGTAGGACGATCAATGAATTACATGAAACCGCGAGAGGTGGTGTTTGACAGTAAAGTAAGTCTCAGTCTAAATATTTCTTAAGTTTTGTTCTGTGTTCCTTAATTATTCTCAACAGGTATGGCTGGGTGGCTGAGAAGACGGCGGTCATCCCACGGATAAAATCCGACAACAACTGTGGAAAAGGAAACAAGGGGCTAGTCCAGTGGAAGGCGCCGCCTGACAGGAAATTTGCAGTGTACTGCTTCAACGCTTCAGGTACCAACCGGCCCGGTCCGGTCCGGCCCAGTGAGCATAAAGGATAAACATTTACTCCTGTTGCTGAGGTTTTGAAGTTGACGTGTATTTTTCTCTGTTTTAAGTGCTTACAGATCAGAACCAAACTCTGGACCCGTCCACAGCCAGCCCACAGTCTCCCAGCTCCTCCACCTTACCGGAAGCTCTGGGCCCAGCCTCGTCATCTGCTGCTCCTACCTCCAGATCATCCACCCAGACTCTGCCTGCAGTGGGAAAGACATCTACACCTCAGCCCACCGAGCTGGCGCCTTCAGCTGCAGCCTCTGTTACCAAGACAACAGACTTGTCTTCGTCTTCCTCCCCTCTCAAACACCTGTCCTCACATATTCCCGTTTCTCCGCATCGCCTCATCGCCTCCACGCCCGCTGGTGTCACTTTTAGCTTTCCAACCTCCACTCAGTCCCCAAGTTCCTCCGTCTCCTCTGAGCCGGAGCTGGAACCATCCGTTGGGTCAACACGCCCCCTGCTGGACGGTAAACATTCCTTATTCTGCTCACAGTTTTACTGGGTTTACTGTCACAGCTTGGCAAATTTCATTTTACATGAAAACAGAACAAAAAAAGGTGAGGAACGACATAAACACATTCATTTCTTTTACTGTGGACTTTATCAAGTATTAATGCTAATTTATAATTCAAAATTTATTCTAATACACATTTAGATGTTTTTAGGATAGGAAGTGTTCAGATTTTTAAAAAATAAAAATGTTTTTTTTTCAGCTGCTCACATCAGTCTCATCAGTCTCAGCATCGTTCTCCTGCTTCTCAGCGCAACGACGGCTTGGTGGTGTTACAAATCGTGAGTCGGCTTCCTGATCGCTTCGGCGGTTTTAATTCTTCATGAGGAAACTTTGGATAAACTGTCCTGAAAAGTCCCTGGAAAAAGAAAGTTTCTCCTCTTTAAGTTCTAGGGTTTTATATACAACATCAGAACATCTGTCGCATGTACACTTGAGTTTAGAAAAAAATTAATAAATGACTAAAAACAAAACAGGTAAAATAGGGGAAACTGCACATCATTTATGTGTATTATTTTATATAAAACACAGGTGAAGGATGAACCTTTGTTTTTACTAGTTTCATAAATTTTGCCAGGGATTTAATAGCTGTGTCAAACAGGTCATACTATACACTGTATCGTATCACAGGGACTGTATACATAATAATGTTGTGTGTCCTTTTCAGTCACAGTTACAAGCCATTTTTCAAAATTGTTATTACCCCTTGTGAGCCCCCAGTATTGGTGGGAATCAGGGACCACGGCCGCCCTTGAATAACTAAAATCCAGGAATAGCTACGTGAAATCTACTCCGAAAATATTTCTCTTTAAATGGATAAAAGCAGCAGAGTCTCTAAATTCTAGTGGTTTGTGTATTTTGTCACTAATCATCTGCATTTCCTGTCTGCTATGGTGAAGGAATGTCATCCGCTGGTATGTCCGGCACCACAAGGACGACATAGAGACGGAGATGTGGAGGAACTCCCACAGTGAGATGGACCTACACAGTGAAGACGGAGCAGCAGTAGAACACGATGAAGAACTAAGCACAAAATACTCCAGTGATGTCACACTCTGTGTGAATACAGGGACGGAAACAAAGTCTGCAGAGTAGCTGATGTTTCTGCTGTCTGGTTTAGTTTTTTACAGGCCTGGATGAGGCACAACAGACTGAACCCATATGGAAATTCCTGGACAACAGGAAAAAAGTGATTTATCTGATGAAGCAGACCAGTCATAGTTGGTTAGACTCCTTTTATCCAACATGGTTTAATATTTTTGATGTTTTCTAATGGCGTTGGGTGATTCAAGAAGCATCCATGTTTGTGTTGCTCTTTACCTTGACGTAATGGTTAAATATATAGCTGTAGAGATTAGGAATACAACAATATGAAAATTTGGAATGATATTGATATCCGATGTATTATTACTCTTGTGGCTGATAACCATTCTTATATATCTCACTACCCTTTTGATACCCATTATAAAAAACAACCAGCCTGCTGAGTTCACCACTGCGTCTGTGCTTCAGTTAAACTCCCCACAATCCTTTGCTGCATCACTGCCACTGTCACATGACCAACCTCTTTCACTCCCCCTCCAGAAACAAACAGCAAGATGGAAATAAATATCGGTTGATAATACTGGCCCACTTTTAATTATCGGGCCAATTCTGATATGTTAAAAAATGACAAATCAGCCAATACCGACGTTAGTGCCGATACATTGTGCATCCATAGTAGATATTATGTCGGAATGGAAAACCAACAGTACACACGTTCCAATAATAACACCAAGAATTTTTGTATTCCTTATTCAGCATTCGGTTGCCATGTCAACGCCATTGTTCATTTAACATGGTGTATTTTTTTACCCAGATTGTTGATTTTGCTGGTTGTGGATGTTTTCAGTGCACATTTACAGACTGGAGGTGAGTTGAGTTCAAGTCTGAACTTTGACTGGGCCATCAGATGTGCTTGGTTCCATTTAAAGTGTTGTATTGCATTCTGGCTGCCTCATCAGTATTATAATCATTGTGTGCAGGAAGTGGTGAATCCTTGCATACTGAACTGCAGATAAAGGCAGGGGTCTACAGTATTATATATTATTTTCTACATGCAAGGTGTCATGTGAGAATGTCAATGTCTTAATGGAAAAACCAGCATTGCATTTATATCAATTAAGGGGAAGTTAAGTACGCTAACATAGCAATACTAACGTGCTAAACATTAGTTTAGCATGTCTAGCACGGAATACCACTATAACTCAAAAAATACATGGCGAGTAATAAGTATTGGCAAATTATATCAACCCATCCATGCACTATATGACAACAATAGATATTTGATTCTTGTTCTTGGGTGGAAAAATTGCAGGAACTACATTAAGAAGACATAAAGAAATAAAAAACATATTTTTTTCTACTCGGCTCTGTGTTTTATAGCTAAATCAGCAGCAGCTGCTGCCACATAAATTGTGCTGTTGGGATGGATGATTTCCATTATTTCATGGACCACAAATGCTATCAAGTATTTGATTATTGTAACCATAATGCACACCATCTCAAACGGACACATTAAACTAACACACAGTCATGCTCTGATGAAATCCAGTTGGTTGGAACACTTGGGCAATTTAATTTGAAATGATCTGGAAATAAATTGGCGAATGAGGAATTAAGGTTTTACTGACAAGATTCCAGATGTTTGCAATAAAAAAGAAATCAAACTATAATTTAAATCAGTTTGGGCTGTTAATATCACATAAGGTTTCTCTAAATTAGAATGAATCATTAATGGCAAGTGTAGTCTTAAAATGATTAGATTATTTCATAATTTGATAGAGCATGTCTTGCTGTTATGTAGCCAGCTGAAAGCTTTATAGCTAGGGTATGCATGCTTTAACAGTCGTTATACTCTGGACCACATCTGATTTACAAATGTGAACTCTTTGAGTTTTACTCGGTGTTTGGCCCATTTGAAAACAGTTATTCATGTAAAGTAGCATTTCCTATTGAATGTGGATAAAATGTTGGTTTTATTCATATATATATTCTTAAATCATTGTTTTGTAATTTGTCTTGACAACATCTGAGATTCTGCTTTTATTTTTTTTAAAAACTAATTTATAACTGAACTTAAATAATTTTATTCCCCATGTAAAAAAAATAAAATACTTAAAAAAATCCAGTACAGCGATTCATTGTTGTGCAACTTCCCTCCAGGCCACACAGTGGCGCTAACGAGTCTTCCCTTAGAATTCACAGGAAGAGTCACGTCAAGTTGAAAACACATCCACACATTCTAACCCACTAGCAGCTGCTGACATTTTTTTGTTTGTTTTCGAGGTTAATTCAAAACATTTCCAGTGAAAATAAAGCCGGAAGTCGCAATGCGGCGCCTGGGCTCCGTTCAGCAGAAAATCCCGTGTGTTTTTCTCACTGACGTGAAGGAAGAAGCGTCCAGAAAACACGAGCATCAGGTGAGCGAGAAGCAGCATCACCAGTATCAACCTCTGATTGATTCTGCTGCTACTGTTACACTGCAGGCCGCAGCACTCTCTACCTACAGCGGTCTTCTTCCGCAGCCATACCTTAATGTTTTCAGAATGTGTTTCATTTACTTCGGGTCACTTAAAGAACCTTTTCGTGCAGCAAAAAGGTTCCAACAATCTCAGAGTACTTGTCTGTATGAATGGAGAATGCAAAAAAAGTTTCAGGAAAAGCGAAACGCTTACTTTAACGATCTAGATTGTTCCCTCCCTGCCCACAGTACGCAATGTATTTCCAGTGTACAACGATAAAAATGCTTAAAAGTGCGGCATGCATTTTTTTCAGCATTCTTATTACGTCAATGCCCTGTAGAACAACATATAGTCAAACTCTATCGGACTGAACAGAAAGTGTTCTTGAACAGAGGTTTCACGAAGCCAAGAAGTTACATTTTAGCCTCATCTAACCAGAATGTCTTCTTCTAAATGTTTTTCTTAAGTGGGACTTTCATGACTTTCTTTCCATTCTTCCATAGAGGTCAGATTTGTGGAATGAACAACTTTTAAGGAGGTTCAGTTTGTATTCTTTATACTCCCCATTTTGTCTCGTCTTCAGCAGTTTCAGGTTGTTGCGACTGAAAACGTGAACCCTGTGGCTCTAGAGGCTAACGTAGACTGCGCCTTCGCCACCGAAAAACTGGATGGCACTTGCTGCTACGTCGCTGTTTATCAAGGTGTGTGCCTCTCAGAGTATTGACTCTATAGGGCTCTAGATCAGATCAGGGGTGTCAAGTCAAAAGGACCTGCGGGCCAAAAAAAGAAAAAAAAAGTATTTATTTCACCTACTCCACAATAAACAAATTAAATAGATTTGTTGCTGTAAATTATTCTAGATCCAAAATTTAAAGGGTTTTGCAGGTTTGCTTTAATAAAATAAATTTAGTTAATTTTCTATTAGCAAAATGTACAATTTATTTATTTAGAGCATGGTAGCAGTATAAAAAAAACACATGAACAAGGACTGCAAAAGACACATTTCTTTTGTCTTTTGTCTACTCCTGCTCGAAAAGGAGTAGGAAGAAGTAAGAAACTTATGAACTTCTTCCCCATAAACTTATGCCATATTTTCAGATGGACCCTCATTCTGATCAATTAAAATCAGAATTTAGGTCATGCTTTCTTTGAAAATGCTTGTTAAATTTAGCAGAGGGACAGATTTGTATCATTCTTAAACTGAAGTCAGGTGCCATACACAATCAGTCGAGAGCATGCAAAATGGCTCCCGGGCCACAGCTTGGACACCTCTGCTCTAAAGTTTCATTGTTTCAGGAAAAAACAAAAAATCTGGGGTTTTTTGCTTAGACCTTAAAGCTTTGTGGAATTGTCTGTGTTAATAAACCCAATGATATTATTATAAAAGGTGATTAGAGAGGCTTTTTGTTGACGTTATGACTGTAGTTGTCTGTTTTTATTAGGCCAGTTTTACCTCTGGGCCAGGTTGGACAGGAAGCCCAACAAGCAGGCAGAGAAGAGGTTCAGGAAGCACCAACATACTCACAAAAGCTGTAAAGGTACCGTCACTTTAGCTAGGTACACGTTTCCCATGCTCCAGTGGTTTGGACTAATTAATAGGAACAACAGAGTTCTGATGATTTATCTCAGCATTTTGGATTTTCTTCCAGATTTCTCCTGGAATGTTGAGGAAGATTTTAAAATGGTGCCCGAGTCGTGGATTCCTGCTCACAGAGTCAAACATAGCAACGGACATCCCATTCCTGACGAGCACGGACACATTCCAGGTTCTGATGCCTTCTATCGTAAAGAAAAAAAAAAGTCCAGTTTTAATTCAAGGGTTTAGTTTATAAGAATATGAGAGAAATTATCAGATATTTATATAGTTCTGTAGTTTAAGTTCAACAGAACAGAAAGTGAAAATTAATTCAAAACTGCCATTTTTTACTCAACGTTGGTAAGACTACAGTGGGATATTAGAATCTGAATTGCTTTTAAAGCTGCAGTATGTAACTTTTATTAAAAAAAAACATGTTTTGAAACTGTCATGACAGAAAAAAAAATCTACCTCCTCTGCCTCTTTCCAGGGCAATCTAGAAACAACCAATCAGAGGCAGGAGGAGGGTCGTAGCGCTGTCAATCATTGACTGTGTGAAGTTACCTGCTACGCTACAGTTTCTGGTAGCAGAACCTGCTGAGAATGCTAAGGCTAGTTAGCATAGCCACCGTTTTCCAGTAACGATAAAACAGGAGGTTGATTAGCAGCACTAAGACCCGCCTCCTGGCTCTGATTGGTTGTCAGAAGCGGTGCATTTCTTCAGACGGCAATAGCAGCACAGCAAGGAGCTGGAGGAGTCAACATTTTCACAGATTATCTGTCTCACATTTTTTAACAAATATGTAAAGAAATATAATTTTTATAAACGTTGCATATAGCAGCTTTAATGTGTTCAAGAAGGAAAGTAACAGTATTCAACGGTTTGAAGCATTAACACATCGCCAAAGTAAGGCAAGACATCAGCAACTGTTGATGTCCATCAATACAGGAAGGGTTTCTAAAGTCATTTCCTGAAAATATGAAGTATATTGTTCTACTAAGAGAGAGATTATCCACATTTAAGACAGACCGTACTGGCCTCAGTTAGCACTTTGAGCGTCTGAGTTCATCGGGGGACAGTTAGGAAACGGCCGAACACGTTGCTGCCGAGTTTCGACAAAGATGGCTGTTGATGGTGCAACTGCAGGCTGGGTCCCGGTGCAGAAGAGCAACAAGCAGTACTGCTGGCACTCCTCCGTGGTGGATTATGAGCTCGGGGTGGCTCTGGTTCTGAAGCCTGGCTGCGACGACGACGACCTGCTGGAGATCACAGCGCTTCCACTGGCAGACCTCCAGGAGCAAACGCTGGAGCTCATCGGAACCAACGTCAACGGAAACCCATACGGTGAGGCAGCTGAGCGCCGGCCGCTTGGGTCCGGCGGGAGGCATAGCTGGAGTTCACTGGACCGTGGATTATTATTGCTTTTTCTTCAGTTTTATTATTATCATTATTTTTAATTTTGTTTTTGTCTCTAATAATCATTCTGCATGCAACCTATGTTTCTTGGACCTCAAAAACCTTTCTTTTTTTTTTTTCAGGATTACAGCCTACAAAGTAACGTCTGTTTTGTTACACTTAATGAGATTTTTTAATGGCATGAAAAAAAAAGCAGCCCCACACACACAGTTGGTCATCTGAGAATGTTTTGAGTAATTTGGCCTAGCATTGGAAAACAGGAAATTATGACTTTTCTAACTTTTCTTGTTATTTTAATCACTATGATTCCCTTTGATCTTTAGCATCTTAGAGCTTATGAATTATTACAGACACAGATATAAAAGACCATCAAAGACCCTTTAACTGGCCTGAAATATTATTGGCATTTGAGAGCAGAGCTTTACATACAGTGAATGAAAAAAAACAAAACAAAAAAAAACAAAGAAAACATAAATGTTTTTTCTCACTGTTTGAATTTAAATAAGGCCAGATTGTCTTTTATATTAGGTCATTTACAGTTACTAGAACCACTTATTTTTTTTCTAAATGCCACAACAGTGAGAGAAAATGTGCCAGAGGTTTATTAAGTTCTTGAACATCAGAAGTTTACACACATTTTCTCAGTATTTGATAGAATTGCCTTGATAGGAAAGACAAAAAGAGAAGTATATTTTTGCTAAAAATCTCAGAAATTTTCTAGAAAACAAAACATGGAGATTTCTGAGTTTGAAAAATCCTAGATTTCTAGAAAAAAAGTTAGAAATTTCAGAGTTTCAAAAGTAAAAAAAATTCCACTGAGAAATGTCCATATATATATATATATATATATATATATTTTTTTTTTTTTTTTCCCCCAAAAAAAAGTCTGAGATTAATCTAAAAATTTCAGCGTTTTTTTTTGTAAATTTATTATTTTATTTTATTATTTCTATCTACACTGGCCCTAATGCACCGCTGATTTAGCAAATGAAAAATCTTATAATGCATAATTATGTCACAGATATGTGAATTAAAATAAAATCCCAAATTAGAAACATTATCTAGAAGTGGTGTGCCCATTAGTCGCACTAGTTAGTGCCAGGCGCTTTGGTAAACAAACAATCTGAGAATTTTTTTGTCCATCTCTCTTTTGCACAACTTTTCTTCATTCTTAAGTGAATTTTGCAGACACAGTTTTAATAAATTGGCATGCCTATTTTCTTAAATATTTTTCAGTTTTAAAATTCAGCTTTTCACTGTGGTCAGAATGTACCTTCATCAACCCTGAACTGTACTTAATATAAAAAATATAAATAAATCCAGCTGATGTGAAGGCGACGTTTTTCATACCGACATTTAAAACGACTTAATGCCTTTCATGTACATCCTAGTCGTCTGCTCTGTTCAGGACTGGGCAGTAAGAAGCAGCCCATCCACTGCCTGGTTCCACATGGCAGCATTCCGGTTAGGAACCCTCCGCCTGTCAACTTCCAGCTGCTCAGCTCCTGGTTCCAGGAGAACTGTGAAGGTCGAGTGGAGGGCATCGTTTGGCACTGCAACGACGGCACACTGATTAAGGTGGGGGAGCCAATATTCTGCCACTGAGGCTATGTTTAGGTTTCTATAAAAACATTTTCAAATGTTTTAAAGGAGCAGTATTTTGTATGATCGACTTTTTTGAGCTTTACATATAATGTTATTCCTGCATCATAAACATATCTGGAGTGTTGCTTTGACTCTTTCATGCATGTTTGATGAATCCTTTAATTTTCATGGCAACCATTCAACTGTGCAAAACGCCTGGGTGGACCTAGCCCCGCCTTCAAGAAGAAGCTCCTCCTCCGAGCTGCTGTTTCCAAGCTTCCCTCTGCCATGACTCCCTCACTCAGCTCCTTCAGACTAACCAGCAGCAATTAGCAAACACCTGGTGGAACTGAGCATCTGCTGAGCTCATTATAGGAGCTACTTCACTGGTAAAAACGTTATTAAAGGGTTAATAGAGGAGCCATGTTGTAAAGACTTCCTGAAGGCCGAGTTTGAGAAAAAGCAGGAGTTTCTTAAAAAGACAGAGGCCCAATTTCAAGAAGTTAAGTTAAAAGGTCAAATTTCTTTTTAAGGCATTTGATATATGTATATAGCATTTTTATAACAACTGAAGTTAAACATTTCTTAATTGTGCTATAAAATGGCAATATATTGCTGGGAAATGCATAATACTGCCTTTTTCATTTTGGGAAATCAGTAATTGGCCAATAGTTGCACATGAAACCGATCTTATCTCCCTCGACAACCACCAGGTCATGTGCACACGTGTGCCCTTAACAGTAAGTTCCACCATTTCCAGCTTAAGAACTTTGTCGCTATTTTTAGTGACTTTTCAGACGAACAAAAAATAAATAAATAAAAAATCGGTATCGGCCAAAAATTGTAATCGTTTTTTAAAGATCATTGGTCAGCCAGAAAACCTTGCTATCAGTGGCGCCCTACTTTGCATCTCTGAAGCTGGTTGGTTGAGTCAGTGTGTGTTTATGTTTGCAGATCCACCGGCATCACCTGGGCTTGAGGTGGCCGGACGGTGAAACTCGCCTCGGCAGCAGACCCGCGGTGGTCCGCCTCGGGGGAGCGTCCGCAGCCTACAGCGACAGCGAGGGCTTGTTGTCATGGTTTTCCCCACTGAACGGACAGCGCTTCAGTCGACTTCAGGACGTGCACTTCTAGCCGTAAACCTCTGAGACGACAAGGATGACGCTCTCTAACAGAAAAAATATCTTTGGAGAACAGAATTAGCAGAAAGTCTTAATAAAAAAAAAAAAAAAAGGTTTTCCATGGACAGAATCCTCATTCTGAAGGTGAAATATGAAGATTCAACCAAACAGTGTTTCAGATTGAAATATAAAGACGGTTTGTAATAGTCTTTGAAAAATAAGTGCATGACTTTAATGTATTATTGTAAATACTGTACATACAATCTTCTGTTGTGTGATGAATAAACGGACACTTCTGACCATTCAAAATGAACTTATTTTAATTGGAAAATACAGAGGAGTTCCTTATAAATAATTACAAAACTATAACTCTGTAACAACACAGCTGTTGTTGAAAAAAACAAAAACAGTAAAAAAAAGTGCTGCTTGGTTGTTTCTCCTGACTTTGATAGTAAAAGAAAAAAAACAGAACATAATTAGAATAGTAGCAAATTCTTTGTAGTAAAACAGTCTGGGCAACCATGCGTTAGCTGATGGACACGCTGGGCATTTCAGCCGTCACACCAAACTGATCGCACACCTTCCTCAGCTGCTCCTCCAGCAGGATGTTCTTCTTCACCTCCAGGTTGTAGTTGTATTTCAAATCCTCCAGCTCTTCGAAAAAGTTCGGGTCGAAGTTCCCCAGCTCCTTCCTTAGCTTTCTCACCTCTGCTTGGAGTTTAGATTTCTGGCTTTCGGCAGCTTGTAGGAGCCTTTTCAGGTTCCCATGACCTTTGAATGCAACATCTGAGATCAGGGTTCGCTTCCCATTAACCTCCACTACACAGCTAGAAGGACTGAGAGCACATCACTGAGTCATTCCTCTCTCTTGACAATCAACAGGACTATCTGAGTTTGCCAGAAGAATGCTATTTACCTAATTTCACTTTAGTGGAAGGTTTTGGGGGAAAGGAAATGTTGCTGTGGGATTGTTTTTCAGTACAATTCAGTTATAATTTGATCTCCTGACTCTATGGGACCAGTCTGAGGTATGGCCCATTTGTTGAAAAGAACTCCACACCAGTGTGCAGCGCAAAGTCCACAAATGCTACATCTACACAGCAGGCAAATCAGATTTTTTTATTTTTTTTTATGATATCTGGCTTTTTCACAGCAGTCTGAACGACCCATTTCCGATCTTTTCAGCCCCAAATGATGCGATTTATGCCACTTCCATATGTGGTGCTAATTCAGTCTGAACAGTCTTTTCACATTTTGTCTGACTTTTGTGTCACCAACGTGAGACATAAGCCATAATTCTGCACCAGAAGAAGTCAGTTCCTGTAAATATGGACGAAGACAGTGGCTGAAAATGACCATATCCGGCTAATCATGAACTTATGAAAGAAGTCTGTCAGTGAAGCGCATCACATCACAACCCCACCACTCTTAGCTCCGCCTATGCATCCAAGCAGGCCTCTGTACGGAAGTTGCAGTTAGTGCTAGACTAAATATCGTTTTGTTGTGATTTTGTGACAGCACCGTCAGCTCCTATTTCTGAATAAACTCTAACAGTGAGCAATAAACAGCTCAATCCATTATTCTGTAAACAGAGCGCTGCTGTGTGACATCAATGATGTTCTTATTGGGACGCGGGTTGCTTCAGGGTGGTAAACCGTTCTCATTGCGGTATGGTTTCATTAGCAGTGTGAACGACCGCGCAGAAAAACAAACATCGGAATTAAGCATGGAACCCTGCTGTGTGAACAAAGCTTTACACATGGACGAGTGAGTCTAGTGGAGAAGAACCTAGCAGACCTGCAGAAAGTCCTGACCTCAATAAGACAGAACACTTCTGAGATGAATTGGAGCAGAGACCTTCTTGTCCAACATCAGTGGACCTTCCAGATGCACTTGTGGGAGAATGGTCAAAATTTTCCTTGTAGAAAGCCTTTTTGGAAAGGCTGAAGCTAAAACATTTTGGTGGGCCGACTACGTTAAAAATCATGAGTAAAGGAAAGTGACTTTTGGCAACATAGTAATTAACCAACAACAGAATGTGCACGAGGTGCTTGACTAGATTAAGTTCAAGTCACGTCACGGTGAGTGTTTTTGTTAAAGAACAGCATTAGTATAGTCGGGGAAAAGTGAAGATTCACCAGGTTCTGGAGAAGCTCCAGCATCCTGCTCCGGGTCGTCATTCAGCTTCTGTTTCGGCTCCATGGTCGTCCTCTCTGGCTCGGCACTCTCCAGTCTTCAGACAAATAAATATGAGTTTAGTTGCATCATCAACTGGTCATCTCCCTGATTAAGTGTGTGTTCATGCAGCATCTCGAGTTTAAGATTCAGATAAATTCTATTTGACTTTTAAAGAATTTCCCAATGATCACTAACCTTTATGAAAATTATGTTTCTCTTGATTTGTATGAGCATCCATTCCCTTAGACTTTCCCATATGTTGCATAACAAACACAAACTTCACTGGGATTTTATATCATAGATCAACACAAAGAAGTTCATGACTACACTGGAAGGAAAAAAGAAACATATGCATTTCTGTCCCTCTTCACTCTAATACCCCTAATTAATCACCACTAGCTTCTGGATGGTGATCACTCTTTGTAAACACAGACAATGCAACAAAATATGTAAATGTCAACTTTTAGAATGTTTCTTCTCACTTTTATTCAATAATTATTACTATGATTTAGAATGAATGCTAAACTGATTTTAGTTGCCCATGAGGTCTGTGTGGTAATATATTATTAATTTAATCATCAGATGCTCCTATTACAATATAGTACCAGACAGTAAAAATTCTTCACCACAATCTTCTCTTTTGATTATAAGAAAATGTGTATTTTTTTAAATTAATCACACATAAAATTTTATATCACTCCAATTGTAGTTCTTAGTTCCTTTAGTCTTTTTCAGACACTTACTTGTCCATTTTGTAGTTGAAAAACACTTTGAAAAACACTGACCTAGTAAACCATTTGTGTTTTGTGTAAGTCTGCCCCAATAATGCTAACAAAGCTAGCTCAAATAGAAACATTTTTTATTCAAATGAAGCATCTACACCTTAGGAGTCCATTTTTCCCCCCACAGTGCCTGTTTTACAATACGCTCCAAATACATGTGCAGTGATGATGGAAAAAAAAAAAAAAAATCACATAAAGATAATTTACATACCTGACAGCTTGGAGATCCTTGGAGCTCCCCACATTAGTCTTTGGAGCTGCTGGAAACTTTTGTAACACGTCAACCTAAATAAGCAACAAACAGAGGCATAAAAGTTTACCTCCTGTCGTCATCGGCAAGAAAGTTTTTTTTTTCTTGTATAATTATACAACATACAATTAAAATCATTTCTAGGGGGTGCGCTGTGGTGGCGCAGGGGTTAAGCACAACCCACATACGGAGGCCTTAGTCCTCGATGCAGCTGTCGCAGGATCGATTCCCGGCCCTGGAGACCCTTGCTGCATGTCTTCCCCCTTCTCTCATTACCCACCTTCCTGACAATTAACTATCAAATAAAGGCCACTAGAGCCAAAAAAATCTTAAAAAGAAAATAATAATAATTTCTAGCAGTAGTAATGTTTCCAGTCAGTCTGTTCCGACTCGACTGATTATCTGGTACCTGATCTTGGAGCTGCCTTGCCCGTGTCTCGGCCCACTCCTCGCGCCTCTTGGCCTCTTTGAGCTGCTGTTTGAGCTCTGACATGCTGGAGGTCTTCTGGGAGAGCTGCTCCTCCAACTCCTTCATCTTGTTCTCAAACATCCTGCCAGTCCAACACACAGTCTTGTGGATACAAGGTTTTCCCTTAGTTAAGTCTCAGCTCACTTACCTATAAGTTTTAGACCTTTTCACGTTTAAGACTAAAACTTAGACTTCATGATGACTTTTTAAGACCTTTAAGACCTGTTATACAGCTTGCTTTCACCAATAGTTTTCTTCTTGCATAAAGACCAGATTTGTGGAGTCCGTTAACAATGCTGTCCAATCGTGTTGTGTTACATCCCAGTAAAACAAATTCCATTTTTTGTTGTGTAACATCCTAAATTGTGGCAGATTTCTAGGATTGAGGGTGTGAATACTTTTGCAGTGCTCTGCAGATTTTGCTAACCTGGCAACAACAGTGGCCCTGGAAGCTTTGCCTTCAGGTCCCACAGCGGCAGCTTTGGACAGAGCCGCTCGCAGCTTCTGCCTGGTTTCCTCCAGCTCAGACTCCAGCTTCTCATTGGTCGCCTCCAGACTCGTCCTGCTCACTCTCAGCCTCTCCGCCGCCTCCACTTCCTGCCCAAGCGCAACGCGGACACTCAGACGAGACCATGGACGAGAAACTGGCACTCGGAAAACTGATGGAACATAAATAAAAAGTCACCCTTTGGATCTCTCTGCGGAGGCGCTCGTTTTCCACCACGATCCTCTCCAGTCCTTTGGTTTTGGATTCCAGTTTTGCGCTCAGCTCAGCTTCGCTTCGATGTTTCAGATTCTCATAGTCAGCCTGGAAGAAAACCATTTTCCTGTCATCTGCAGAAACAAAACCTGGAAACAAAATCCGCGTGAAGCGGAAAGCAAACATCGTGCCAACCTTCAGCTTTTTGTTTTCCTTCTCCAAAGCGGCAACTCTGTCTTGCTCTGCACGGCTGCTGGATTTCTTCAGCGCCTCGTTCTCCCTCTGCACCCTCTCCACCACCTTCTTCATCAGACCAATCGTCTTCTCCAGCTCAGGGACCGTTTTGCCGCTGAAACCAGCCTGATGGAGAACAGGCTTTAAGGAAAATGTTGAACCTTAAAGCTGCAGTAGGTAACTTATAAAAAAAATGTTTTTTACATATTTGTTAAAACTTTCAATGTCATAACAGTATAAGGTTTATACATGTGAAAAAACTGGAGCTCCTCTGCCTTTTCCCAGTGCGCCCAGTGCAAACTGCAGAAATGCACCACTCAATTTGAAACAACCAATCAGAGACAAGAGGAGGGTCTTAGCATTGTCAATCACTCTCATGCTCCCCGCCTTTCAACCTTTGCGAAAGCTGGTCCACCACGACGCAACCTGCCAAGAATTCTAAGGCCAGTTAGCATGGCCACCGATGATGGCAGATGAACGATTTTTCAGGAACGGTGAGTTGTTTTTCCACCATTAGCACATTGAACAGCATTGATTGACAGCGCTAAGACCCTCCTCCCAGCTCTGATTGGTTGTTTTTGACCGGGAGCTGTGAATTTATTCAACGGCAACACTAGCTCAGGGAGGAGGAGTTCGATTTTTTCACTATGACATTCATAGTTCAACAAATGTGTTAAAAAATATAGATATATTTTGAAAACTTACATACTGCAGTTTTAAGTTGCTTTTATCAATTCAAATTAAATTATGTTAAATTATGTTCCTGGAGTGTTTCTAAAACAAAACAAAAAACATCTGTCTGCACAGTAAAGCAAAGCTCTCTTACTCCCCGTAGATGTGCCAGCTTCTTCTCGGCATCCGCACTCTCCTGTTTCAGAGCCTCACACATCTCCTTTAGGTCTGCAACCTGATTCTGTAGAAACAGAAACAGAAAAAAAAATAATTATATATATATATATATATATATACAGTCATGATTAAAAAAGAAAAAAAAAGCACACCTGCTTTGAATTATAGAGTCTTACTTAAAGGATCTGAAACAAAACATATTCATGTGTTAGAATGGCCCAGTCAAAGTCCAGACATAAACCCCATTGAGAATCTGTGGTGAGATGTGCCACGCCCCAGCAAATTCACCTCAAAGACAAAGGCTGCAATGCTGAGAAAAAAATGTTAATCACCAAACACAGCAGCTGCCCTGGCTTCAACCTGTTTGACCTGCTGACCTCAGGGGGGCGCTACAGCTGCATAAAAACAAAAACACACTGAAAAGTTGCTTCTTCCCAAAACAAACGAACACGCTCAATGCTCATATGGTGGTTATGTGTATGTGTGCATGTATATATTAATTTATTACAATGTTTGCACTATTTGAGTTGAATTTATATTACAGCACATGTGTACAGTGACAAACAATAAATTCAGTTTTTCCCCAAGTATTATAAGCCTGGCGGGCCACCAGGCTAAAAGTTGTTTATTTTATATTTTTTATGTTTTAAGACTTTATTACGGTGGCTTGAAGGTGTAAATGGCTTAACAGGCAGCAAACAGGTGCAAATATGCAGCGTTTTATTTGTAATTGCAGCAATGTGTTTTTGATTCTAGCATTTTATTTATGATTGAGTCCTTTTTTTGTTTGCATTAGTTTTGTTGATTGATGGTTTTTACTTCTATTTTCTGTTATTACAGCAATTTTTTTGGTTTGCATCATTCTCTGTTGCATTTGTTTTTTTGTTTTCTACATGTGATTACACCTGGTTTTGCTGTTTGCTGCACCGTTTCACCTGTTTGCAGCTCGTTTAGCCATTTGCTGCGTGTTTGCACCTGTTGGCTACCGTACCTTATAGTTGGTGTTCATGTATTAACCTTCCAATCTTCCAATAACACATAAATATCAAGTGATATTTTCTAATTTCCTGTCAATTTTAAACATTTTTTAACTCAAAAACACAGTGGGCTGCTTAATGAATGACTGCTCTAATGTCTACCACCAGGCTTAGCAAGTTTTCCGGGGGAAACCCTGAAATTCTAATTCTAATTTCCCAAGAGCCCCACCTCAGAGTCTTTAGGCCTCCAATTGTTAGTGAAAAAACAAACAAACAAACAAACAAAGAAACAAACAAACAAACGACTCCAAAAAAAAAAAAAAACGCAAAACAAGCAAGGCTCATCTTGATTGATCTTTCTAAAAACAGACTCGAGCAGCACAACTTAGCTCTTGTAAAGCATGGTGGTGGAGGAGTTTTGCAGTTGTGGAACTGGGTCACAGAATCAACAACAGACTCATCTGTTTAACGCAGCACAGAAATCTGTCAGACAGCTGGAGTTTGGACCACACTGGGTCTTGAAACCATCCAGCTGTGCAGGAAATCTCCAGCAATTGAGGGCATGTTGTAAAGAAGAGATTGTAAAGAAGAGAGTTGAAATTCCTCCATGACGATGTAACTCAATACTGGAAGTTATTGCTGCTTACAGCGGATCTACAAGCTTTTAAACCATGGGTTATTGGGATTTTTTTTTTTACACACGTCTTCATTAAACAATGACAGTATGGAATCAGTTTTGTGCTTCTTCATCTGAATATTTTTAAATCCTTTAAAAGACAAGATCTCTTTATTATATCCTAATGTCTAAAACCATAAAATTAAAAGGTGTTCTTTCTATTTCCAGTGAAATAAAAAAGTAGGCCTGACGCCATAAACATTAAATCAGTTAATCGCATGATAAATTAAAAGAAACTCAAAAGTTTGAATTTGCTTTATTTATCAGTTTTCTCTTTTCTCTCTTTCTACCAAAACTGATCTTCAGTCTGGTGATTTGGTCTCAACTATCCCTTTTGGGTTGGTCATACCTTCAGCCTGGGTAGATCTTGGTTGGCCTGTTCCAGCTGGAAGCGCAGCTCCAAGTTCTCTGAGGCCAGCTTGAGGTTTTCCTTTGAGATGTCCTGATCTCTCTGTGATGGGGTCCTGGTCCCGCGTCCCGAAGTCTAAAGAACGGCAAAGTCTCAGAATGAGCCACACACGTCCAACGGTTGAGTACCGACAAAATGCAGGGGAGGGAAAAGCTTTAAGAAGGAAAATGATTAACAGTAACTGTGTTTCCGTTGACCATATAACTTGATATTCTGAAAATATATTTGCAATTTTGAGAAAAAAATAATATTACTTTTTGATAAGTTTTGTCACTAAGATGAGATTGATTTTTTGGCTTTATCTAAATTGGGTTATTTTGCAAAACTGCAATGGCAACACTTTTTTGCACATGATCAACAGCCAGATGTTTGCCACTGCTTGAAACCATGAAGAAGAGGACAGGAAGTGGTTAGACGACGATGGCACAGCATGTTTTTTAATAACTTGCCTCATGAACAAACTTATTCCTTTTCGACATTAGCAGAATATTGACAAAGTCGATCCCTAACATTCCCAAATTTGAAACATTTGGAATGGAAACACAGCTAGTGCCTTAAAACCACAAACGTCTGTGTTTTATGGGGGAATTTTATGTGACAGGCCAACACAAATGTGGAAGGAAAAGTATATGTGGTTTTGAAAAGTGGCAAAAAAGAGGCTTGAAAACTGATGTTCCCATTCTGTCTTCTTCCAATCTTAGAAAGAACAGCCTGGTAAAAACCAGCCTGCTGTTCTACGCTTTGCTTCCTACAGAGGGTCTGAAGCCTCGGCTACTGAGAAATGATCGCTTCCTGGAGGCATGGACTTTGTTGCAGTTTTAAAGTTCACCCAATGACTAACATTTTTGGGTGTGACGTATATAATACAGACTACAATTCAGAAACAGCGGAGAAAATCGACGTCATCGTTCACAGTTTCTCCCTCTGTTCGCTGATTGGCTTGGTTGAAATTCTACCAGAAAATTCACTTCAATGGGAGAAATCATACACGGATCAGTGGAGATCAGAATCGAGCAGAAATGTGTAGGGAGGCCATGGCCAGGATGCAAAGGATGGGCAAAAGTTTCAGAGTTTAGACCCAGAAAGACTTTACACTGAAAGGTGGTTCTACAAAGTATTTACTTCAGAAAGCTGAATGCAAAAGAACACATAATTTCAGCCATGTTTTGTGTTGGCCTCTCACATAGGTTCTTAATAAAATATGCTAAAGTTTCTGTTTGTGATGATCAAGGGATAAATACAAAGAGCAAGTGGAAACCTGAAGGCTGTGATGGACAATGACAGGGAGGAAACGCTAACGAGACATTTCACTGGCTGTGTGTAGCTCTGGTTCTGCCATGTCTAATGCTATCACAGCTCTACCACCTCAGCAGCCAGGGCTTAAAGGAGGGCTTGGGGGATACACAGGCTGGAATACCTTCTGATACTTCACAACTTCCTGTTTTTGTGTTTGTTTGCCCCTTTTTGCGTGGACAATTCTCTCCGGGCGTTTGCTCAGAGTGATACTAGAATCAACATCAGGATCAGCTGAGAAAGAATTCTGGTCATCTTCCTGTACTTCCGTTCTTGTCGTCACGTCTTCTTCTTTCTCTTTCACCTTTTCTTCGGCATTCTGGGTCCCCTCCGGGATAACTCCGACATCATCATCATCATCGGGATCCATGCCTTCACTATCTGGGTCAGGATCGCCCGGTTTCTTCCTGCTTTCGCTCATTCCACCGGCTGTCGTTGCCTGTGTTGCAGACGGAGGCGAGATGGATTCCGTCCTTTCTGACAGATCATCAGAATCGGCACCATTCCCTTTTGTGTCAGGCGGTTCATCCTGTTCCACATGCTCCGTAACGTCACATCCAACAGAGATGCTTTCTTCATTTTCTCCAACAACTGCTGCTGTTTGCCTTTCATCTTCCAGGCGATCCGCATCAAGGTCCTCTCCTCCACCCGCCTGGCTCTGCGTGGGCTCCCCTTGTTGGTCAAGGGCGCCTCCTGCGGGGTCGGGGGTCTCAGGAAGCTGACAGCACGATGCTCCGTCCTCAACATCAAACGTGAGTGAACAAATCCCACTAAGTGCCCGGGAGGAGAAGTGTCTCTCCTTTGCAGGCAGTGAATCAGATCAAACCCAGGAGGAAGATGAAGAAACAGAGGAAGACTGATGAACAGATCGCTAAACATCTCCAGACCTTCAAACAGAGCATAGGCCAAGTACTACATCTTGAGGTAAATGCGATGTCCTGCCATGCTTGTGAAATATGTTGCTCATATTCATGTCTTCCAGGCGAGCTCTTAAACAGAAGAAATGCTGGTTAATACAGCATAAATATGTTCTCTGTTGTTGACTTTGCTCCCAGATTCCAGTCCTCCGAAACAAGAGAAAGAAATGTCAATGTCAAATAAACTATTAATCTTCCATTTACTTTAGTGCTTTGATGGTAAAACACCAGAACAATGTTCCTACCGGACTGCTCCTTTTGACTAAAAAGGAGAAATGAGGACTTCTTTCCATTAGCGAGGCCAAAACCAATTCTTTTTTTTTTTTTAATACCTGACCTCTTTCGTTTATTACTTCAGCTTTACCTGCGAATATGAGCTTTGTTTTAACGAGTAATAATTCAGGGACATCTGATATGAGATAAAAAAAAAGTCAAATGATTGTATTTGAGCAATAAATATGCAGCTTAAACACTTTACCGAGGGTCTGGAAGAGGGTTCCTTGGATATCTGCCTCTCTAAGGAGTGGAGTCTCTCCTCTAGAAGATGGTTCTTTGACATAAGATTATCCATGGCATCATCACGAGGCAAGGCCTGCTGCTGCCTGCACATTCAACACGACAGAAAAGGAACTTTTTACAAATATAAGTCTGAACCTTTCATTCTCACACCTCTAAAGAAAATCCGGTGCAACGAAATGCCTTTCAAAGTCTACTTATTTCATGTGCATGATTTAATCTCAGCTGTCCTGTGAGAAGATATGAATACTTTTTTTTATAGCTCCATTGTAAAATAGTAATTTCTCATTATCTATTAAGGCTCTGAACATTCTACATAGATAAAATGCACATACCGCTCATAAACATGTTGAATTTGCCTGATATGAAAATATTGGTTTGTGTTGGAAACTTCTCTTTATTTCAAACTTGAGACATGTATCAAGAGGTTAGCCTAGCCTTTATGTTTTCTAAGCTAAAAGTAGGAGTGCACCAATTGCAGTTTTCTTACCAATCACCGATCTTTAAAAAGCCAGACTGCTGATTCCTTTTTTTTGGTTGATACTGAAAGCTTCTCTCCATTTCAAACGTGCCCGAGACGTATCAAGAGGTTAGCCCATCATGTATGCTAACGTTTTCCAGGCTAAAAATAGGGGTGCAGAACGTGCACTGACTGAAGTTTTCAGGCCGATTACTGTACTTTGAAAAGTCTGACCGGCCAATTCTGATTTTTGTTGATACTGAAAATTTTTCTCCATTTCCCAAGCCATGTATCAAGTGGTTAGCCTAGTGTATCCATTGTAGTTTTCTGGCCAATCAGTTCAGTATTTTAAACTTGAAAAGCTGAGATGTTCCCTCTAAGCTAGCTATTACACCACTTGAGAACCATTTGCGAGATTTTTTGATTAATGGAAAGATGGACAATAGCTGTTTCTGTACAGTAATCTGTGCATAAAATGTTCATTAGTGTCTCATTTTATGTCACATTGCTTTAATTTTACTTTTGCCCACTGACAGATGGGTCATATTCCAAACACCCATCCATTCATCCCTTGTAGACATTATTGAAAAGGTTCTAGCTATCATTGCTTATCACAGTTTTTCCTTCCACTCAACTTTCCATAACGCTCTAAACAGCCAGGTTCTTTTTCAGTGACATTGTTGATTGTTAGTGTTGTCTGCTGGATAAAGCAGTGTTCCCCATAAATGTGTAGGCCATTCTATATACACAAGAGTTTGTATTATATGTTATTTTTGTATTTAAATCATTAATACTGTTAGTGTTTGTAAGGTTATGAGTTTATTAGAAGACAAATCTTGTTTTTTTTATTAGCAATAGTTCATAGTTATCAAAATTAGTAGAAATAAATGCCTATATCTCACTGTATCTAATTTGTTGATCATTCAATGATAATGTGATTCATTAAGATGTCACTGCACATCAAATTCCAAAACTGTCCCACTCTTTCATATGGTTCATAGTCTCTGAACATGTAGCGTGGACGTTCAAGTCAACTTCTGCCAGCAGGTGGCACAATTGAGTCCGAGTCAAATGTTAAAGGTCCTGTCAAACGCTTGACCTCGCCATGTTAGTGGCAGCAAGGTGTTAGACGGCAGACTCTTCAGTCTGCAGATATCAGATCGAACCCTCAAGAAGAGCGGAGCACAGCGTGTGAAACGTCCGTCTGAAACGCCGACACGCAGAACGTTAACCGTCGCCTCCCTGACCTGACGTCTGCGTCGCAAGCGGCCTTCAGTTGGCTCTCGCAGCTTAATGAGAATCTACAAACTCAGCGACGTTGACTCCAGAGTCGAGTAAAGGTCGTCTCTAAAGGTCATTGGTAAAGCCTTGGGTCTCTGAGGAGGCAGCTGGGACCAATAAAACTGTCTGACCGACAAGTTCGGAAACCAGAGCCCTTCCGGAAGTTCGCAGCTCCTGTCGGATAAATGATCAGCTGGTTTAGTAGGAATCAGAAATATCTCGGCTGCCTCCGTCCAACTACTTATGCTAATAAGTAACACTTTTTTTTTTATATAATGTAAGATGTTTGATTTCAAAGAAGACAAGTAATAGCAAAAATATTAGTGTCTAGATGTGAAAAGGTGAGAGTAACATACCCCCAAAACAGCTGGTTCTGCATAGTGTTGACTCATGGAAGTGGATTAAAACCAGTCTGACAGTTATTGGATTTGTATTTATAAATGGGGCTTTATTATATACTGTCCAGGCATGTAGTGCCTTTTTACAGCACAATCAAGTATGGTAACTAGGTTACCTTCAGTTATTATAAACATGATCTATATGTCAAAGATAACTTTAAAGAAATTTGACTTCACAATTTGGCACCTTGAAATTGGCTTTTTGTCTCTTTAAGAAGCTCATTATTGCACATTTAGCTTATTTGAGAATATTTTGGTAATTTTTGTCGATTTGTGGATTTTTATCAATATTTATTTGGCTAAATGTGGTGTAAAATTTTAATCCTGAAACACCATTAAAACAAGGGGCATTGAAATACTGTCTATATGATGCCACATGTAGTCTATTTGAGAATATTTGGATCATTTTTTGATTTTTTTTTAAATGAATATTTATTTTGCTAAATGTGGCATAACATGACAGTTGGACACAGTAATATGATTCCATATGCAAACTTTACTATCTGTGAATATTTTGATTTTATATATATATATATATATATATATATATATATATATATATATATATTTTTTTTTTTATGTATTATGTGACATTTAATAACATTTTACCATTTTCTATTCCAAAAGCATTTAATCTTGGTATATGGAGATAAATGCACATTATTACAAATGTAGACTTATTCATCTGAGAACATTTTGGTCATTTCTTGATTAATTATTGATTTTTTAAAATGATTTTTATGATGACAAACATAAAAAATTACTTTTAACTTATCAGGATAGTTGAATTCAGTCAACACCAGAGCTGACACAATCAAAGTGGACATCAACTCTAATGTAGGCTCATATATGTACATACTTTATGGTGACAATCTGGGTTTCCAGCTCAGAATTCTTCTTCTTCAACTCCTGTATCTGCCTTTCCATGTCGTTGGCTCGTACCCCCACCACCTGGTCGGCGGTCACACCTCGAGCTTTCAGTTTTTTCTGCAGCGCAGCCTTCTCCTGCTCCAATCTGCAAGCAAACGAAAGCACACAGGTCCAATGGATGAAAAAGACAGAGCAAACCGTCTGAATGATGTACAGCTGTGATCATTGAGCACCTTTTTGATTCTAAACAGGAACATAGGGAATGATAAATCAGTCATCAGCATAACTGTAGCAAATCTAGGCACTGTGCATACCAGATTTATGATGTACACACTCTGACCTGCCATAAAGATCTTTCAGAGTGCCAAGTTGCTTCGACAGTGATTCGTTATCTCGTTCCTTCTCCTTCATGGAATTCTTCACCTTTTCCATCCTAGCCTGCCATCTTTTGCTCTCCTCCCACCGCACAATTTCATCTTTGGTCTGTTGGAGAAACAGGTTTTGCATCAGCTAAACAGGCAATCATACATGATGAGGTTCTTGGATTTAATCTAAACTCCTGAGCTAGCAGAGGTGTAAGTTTCATGAACCTATTTGAGAATGTTAAATGTGGGAATATTAAATGTTTGCTAGTCTAATTCTCAAACTGGATGCAAAATAAAGTTCAAATCCTTAAAAAACTTAACAGAGTCTACAGAGGCAGTTTATCTACATTTAAATTTATTCCTGTATAATTGATCAAACCTATAAGTAAATGGAGCTGGATTATCTAAGGCCAATGATGTTTGTGACAGCGTGTGTAGAATAAACACTGTCTAATAGCAACTGATGGTACATGTGGTGAATAAGACTTTAAAAAGGGCTCAATTACAGAGACTGGACCAATCCAATATTGGTATAAGACACTGATATATCAATTAAATTAAATTCTATTAAAAATGTTGAGAAAATAAAGAAAGTCAGTAGGGTGCAGAAGTTAACCCAGAGTGTAACAAGTGCAGCGCACTGCATGTGCCTGCGGCTCCGCTCCCATCAATCACGTCCCAGAGGAATTACACTTGACTCACTCTGCGGTTACAACAAGTGACAAGATGGAGCTGGGAGACGTCACACAAAAGCTAAAAATGGGAGGAGTTACACTGCTTACTTCAATGGTAAGAAGTTTGTTGATGGTGGTTTCAAAACAAAAGCAGTAAAATCTTCATTAAAATGATATGTCAGGTTTACTTTGGGCTCAGGCTTATAATTAAAGTTAACTAGTCAGGTTGGAATAGACTTTTCTAGGTACAATATAAATAAACTTTTCACTTTAATACATAAAACCCTGGACAGAGGAGAAGGATTGCCAGAAGAGTTGATGAATAATAAAACAAAACTTACTAAAAATGATAGAATGAGATTTTTGCCCAACAGCAACAATATATGGTGGACACTGTTTCACACCTTTCCATGATCATCTTTGATGTTTTTTACGTCGTTCCTTTTCTCCAAGTCCGATTCCAGCCTCCTGATCTTCTTCTGCAGATTCTCTATGATGGCTCCTTTCCCATCTGCCTCTGTCTGATTCTGAGCAACAGGAAAAAAAAAGAATCATCGCTTTTTATGTTTATTATTATTTATACACACAGACAAAAGTTTACTTCCTGTTTCATAATTATTCAAAGTAATTGTTTATACAACAAAAAGCTTTAAGGATGTTTAAAAAAAAACAAAACAAGAACTGGCTGCTCAAGTTTGACTTTATCACAATTTTTCTCTTATCCGAATGTGGTCAAAATTATAGATGTTGGATCTAAAATATGCACACATTCAGCTATTGTATTAAAAACATACTATCACAAATACACTTCTTATAATAAAACAAACAAAAGACCAATCTGGATTAATGAGTAGGCTACGTCAAGACACCATATATATGATGTAGCACAGTTTTAGCACTAAACAGCAAATTTAATTGTATTTTTAAAAACATTGATATTTATTGCTGCTCTTCTGGAACCACCAGAGAAAAAAAATTGTAAAAAAAAAAAAAAAAGTAACAATCAAACCGTGAATCTTATGACCATACAGACCTTAACCCAATTGGATTTTTCAAACTGTACTTAAAATTCAGATTTAGTCAGAAAACAAACCTTAAATAATCCAAATGGCTCAAACAAAGAGGTCAAATATTCAGCCAGAAAAACCATCAAAAGTTTGTTGACGGTCATGAATACCAAGTCGTGGAGGTTCAACTTGTTAAAAGACAAAAAAAATAAAAAATAAAAAATAATTGCACTGTATGTGTAGTTTTGACTATGGATTAGAAAAAAACCCACATAAGAATTGGATTGGCTTATATAAATTTCACTATGAAAAAGGAACAAGACTTTTACTCTCTTCCTGGGCATATGCAAACTTCTGACCCCCAGTCTTGAGAAACAAGTAAGCAAGCTCCCAGATAATGAAATCAACCCACATACTGGCTGCCGTTTATCTTATACCTCAGAAGAAATGTCATCATTCTTTCTCGACACATTCCTCCATGTCTTTTTTTTCCTGCTGACTGTGAGACGAGCCTAACGGGCGTGGCATGACTCCTATATGAACCTTCTATCCTATTTCAACATCTGAATGCTGAACAGGAGTCAGAGGATTTTAATCAGTTTCCCACATGATGCTATGACGTTGATGTTGGCTGTCGGTGGCCGCTGTCCAACATATCACGCTGAAATCTAGGACGTAACAAGCAAGAGTTCTAACTAGGAGCCAGAGACCAACACAGAGTACCTTGAAGAAGGACTTTTCCTCTTGCAGATTTATTCTGTTTTTGCCACACTGAAACATTAAAATTATCATGCTTTCTAAGCTTTATCAGTATTTGTGACAAGAACTGCATTAAATGTTTGTAATAGCTAGCAATGGGTTATTTTGATCACTGCGAAGGAATTTTGGCCCATATTTTTTGTGTAATTGATTTAATTCACCCATGCTGAAGCATGAACAGCCTATTTTCCATTGCATCTCAAATAAATTTAATTCTAACGTTCAACTAGGCCACGTAAAGACATTCATTTATCAAAAGACATTCACTTAATCGAAAAGCGGTTAAACTGAAGGTGCATTCACACCAGTCCATTTTAGCTGGAATCTAGTTACTTTGTCTAGAGAGTCTGGGTCATTTGCAAAGGTGTGAATGCACAATGAACTCTGATCTGGATCAAAAATGCAAACTCTAGTTCGCCTAAAAATCTCAGTTCAATTAAAGTGAACTCTGGTGCAGTTTGAATGTATACATGGAAACAAGCAGACTGGAGACCGCTCCCAAAAACAGGAAGCAAACTACAGTGCAGGGGCATTCTGGGTAAATACAAACCAAACAACTGTGCAAGTCTAGCACTAGAGGAAGAAATGTCTTGTGGTTTTCAACCAAACTAAAGACAATAAAGAAATCCTACTCCAGTTTTGTTTACAATGTGTGAAAAGGGAGGTCGTACTCATCTCTTCAGAGTTTTTCAGGTCGTTTCCTTCAGTGGTTCTTGGTGCAGCGCCCTTATAGGCGAGGGGGGTAACAGGTTTTGCAAAAGTTTTGGACTGTCTGACAGTGCAGTGTGAAAGCAGCTGAAAATGTATGAAATGTTGCAATTTTGGTCCCCAATCAAACCTTAAAGTCAAGAATGACTATCATGTTATGCTAACAGCTCAGTTTACAGGCAGCAGAGACAACATTCCACAGTAATAGACTCTGGAGGACACAATCAGTTGTTAGCAAGTACTGCTAATCCACCTCTTTTGCTTTTGTGCTCCTCTTTAAATCTCTGTCTGGCCGTATGGTTAGGAAGCCGGGCAGAGAGACGTTGAAATAGGGGATATGAACCTTACCCATTCTGACAGATGGAGGGGATGGAAGGGAGCATTCTTTTTCTCTTTCTGCTCTTTGGTCCTGTTCTGCTCTTTCTTTTCAACTCCTCTGGGGTTCAAGGTCATGGTTCAGGTGCGACATGAGCTTTTGAGATGCTGATCAAGCCACTCCCAGTTGTAAAAAACATTAACTTGTTGCTACGGTTATGCATCATCACAACTGCCCAAAAGTAAACAGCAGCAGGAAAAAAACGTTCTATCTACACAGTGTCAAAAACCAGAGGGAATAATTATCCAAACATGCAATATCTCAACAAAACAAAACAAAAAAGAAAAACAACTATGAACAAAAATCTACAGGAACAAATCCGAATCAGCAAATATAAGACGAGCCCTTTATGTTACCTTTAGTCACACGTGGTTTTTGGCCTGGCACTCTCCCATGGATGACATTTTCTTATTGGTTAATCGTGAACACTGACCCTAACTGAAGCAAGTGAGGCCTGAAGTACTTTAGATGTTACTCTGGGATGTTGAAATGGGATCGGAGTATTTCTAGAAGTTCTCCCAGTCCTCGGAACATCGCTATACTGTGTATAATGGCTCTCGTTGGAGTCCTAAAGCCTTAGCAACGGCTTTGTAAACCGTTCCAAAGTGACAGATGTTAATGACATTATTTCTCATCCAACTTTTGATTTTTTTTAGATCAGGGGATGATGATGTGTTACATTTTGAAATCTGTTTAGCCTACTTCATGTTGCTTTTGTCCCTTAATAAATACATTTCTAGGGGTTCACCGATCCACTTTTTTCACTTCTGATACAACATTTATATTTAGTATTGGCTGATACCGATCTGATACAAAAAAATCGGTGATGAATTGACTTGAAACGTTTCTCTTTATGAATTACAAATGTGTTTGATAACTCTGCATTAGTATAGTACACTTAAATCTACCTACCAACAGCTTCACAAGCTTGGTCAAACATGAAAGAACAACTCATTTGCTCAGTCAGTGCAATTAGGAGTAGAACAGCCAATGTAAAATATATACTACAGAACCTGAAACTAACAAAAACAATAGACTGACTACCTTGGTCAAAAAAGTAAAAAATAAACTACAACAAACCTTCTTTTAAATGGTTTATAAAGTGCAATTAGGAAATCTAAATCCAATGTAAAATAAACAATAAAGCATGACAATGCTGAGAGTACAAAGCATAGAATTAGACTGAATAGATTTGCTCTTATAGATCTATTGCCACCAATACGCAATCTAGAATTTTTTTTTTATATCAGGATTGATGAATACTGGATTGATGCATCTCAACAAAAACTGTTTCTCTTGATTTTTTAATTTATTCAGGCTATTTCTGATGTCAAAATTACGTTGTTGATCCAAAGCATAAATAAATTAAAAAAAGAAGATTCAGTGTGATTCAACGTGATTCAGCTGTATAGCTTTGTACCTGCATGGTGCTGGTGAGCCTCTTTATTTGCTGCTTGAGCTCCACCACTTCTTGCTCTCGCTCTGCTTTCTCGGCCTGCAGTCGTCTCTGAGTTCTTTGATATTTCTGGAAGTCTAGGTTTAGTCCTTCAACCTCCTCTTTCAGAACGTTCTCTCTGCTCCTGGCTGCTTTGGCCGACTCCTTTGCAGCTTGAAGTTCTTCGTTCAGTTCCTGTACCCGTGCCTACAAAATAAAATAAAATAAAATAAAAAAATTACATAAGATCTTAATTCTTGAGCTGAAAATTGTCCTTTTGAATCCGGTTTTTATCGTATTTTCATTTGTAAAATAGAAATATCTGGATGAATATTTGGAAAAATTAAATGTTGTTGTAACTCATATTAATTAAAATTCTTCAAAGAGTTATTGCAATTCTCTATGCAATAATAAAAAATAAAAAAAAAATTAAAAATAATAACCCTGGACAGGTCGACAGTCTGTGACAGGGATTAAAGTTTTATTTAAAAATTTTATTTTAAATAAAAATTTTAAATGAAAATTTGTATTTAATAAAATAAATAACCATCTCAACCTAAGCACTTGCTTTTAAACGGAGGTTACCATCTGTCGTGTTCACAGAGGTCACCTTACTGGTCAGAGGTCAAACACGCTCTGATTGATGCAGATGGTCCTTTAAATCCAGGAACATCGCAAACGTAATTTCTATAGAAACCAGAAGCCTCTACTGCAGCCTGTCAGCAGGTATGATTTAATTACAGCTGCTTTGTAGAGGTCCTGCTTTCTAACCATTATGCCAATTTGTAAGACTTAAAACATCCAACAAAGCTTCGTTTGAGCTGATTACATCAACAGGAAAGAAACCATAACATACGAGTAAAAGAAAACAAAACCCACTTTGATCTTACCTTCAGGTCTTTGGTGTGTTTGTCCACTAGCATCTGAACGTTGAGACTCTGCTCTTTCTGGGCAGCGTTGGCTATGACTTGCTGCTCTGCAGCTGACATCATCTCCGCCCGCAGCTCCAACAGAGCCTTACTGAGAGCCTGACAGGAGATGAAACAAACAGACCCTGGTGTTCAGTAATGCAATAAACGTGGCCTGATCCTTGGCGGTGCCCAGAAAATCACGTTTGATTCATACAAAGGCATACAGAGTCATCTTCTTCAGTCAACACAAAAGTAAAACACAATCATTTTAGCTGCAATATGCCAAGAATTTTTGTACTGGCCTTGTCTGGCCACATTGGTTTCACACAGCTGGAACCTGTAGCAGCAACAGAATCTCTGCTTTTTGTTCGCTGGATTGATTTACTTTGAAGCCGAAACAAAACACAGGACATGCCTCGAAAATATTCGATTAGGGTGCATCCGGAAAGCGTTCATGTCATTTCACTTTTTCCACATTTTGTTGTGTTGTGGCCTTACTCCGAAATTGTACTGAATTAAAACTCTTCCCTCAAAAATTCTCCACATGAATACCCCTTTATTATGGCAATGTGGAAGAACTTTTTGGAGCGTTATGTAAATTTATTAAAATCAGAAAACCAAGAAATCACATTTCCTTAAGTTTTCAAAGCTTTTGTTGATCCACTGATAATCCTCAAGATGTTTCTGCAACTTAAACATAATCTACCTGTGATAAATCCTGTTTCCTGGACTTGATTTGGAAAGGCGCACACCTGTCTTTACAAATAAGGCCACTCGGTTGACAGTGCAGGTCAGAGGTCAAACACTAAATATGAAATCAAAGGAACTGTCTGTAAATGTTTGATTGTCTTGAGGAACAAAGATCCAGAAGCATTAGAGAAGAACAGACCAAAACAGGTGGATGTGAATACTGGTGTAAATGTGATTTCTTATTTGTCTTTTAATAAATTTGCGAAACGCTCAAAATTTTTGTTTTACAGATTCTCAAAATGGAGTATTTGTGTGTAAAATTTTAAGGAAAGACATTAAAGCGGCAGTATTATGCTCTAGCTATCAACTTCTACATATCAAGTAGAAAACCACATTGGCAATTAATCAAACAATTACTGTAAAGTAAAAAAAAAAAAAGAAAAACTGGTAAAAGACCTTGAGCTGTTTCTCCTTCTGAGTGAGTTGTGCTTTGAGGCGTTCCACCAGGTTTTTCATGGTGTTGCTCGGGGAGCGAACGTTGGCCTCCTTCTGAGCTTCCAGCTCGGAGCGCAGGAAGCTCATCTCCTTCTCCATCTGAGCCAGCTGACTCCTACTGTCCTCCACCTCACCGCCCAGAGCCTTCACCTGGGCAACGTAGTTCTCCTCCAGCCTGGAACAAATCCCCTCTTTGTTAGCATCTTAACTAGAAATAAATCTCTGGTCCACATTCTATTACATTAACTTTACAATTGATACAAAGTTAGAGAGTAAATGGCTGAGCATGATCTGTGTGAGTGTAGAAATATGTTGTTTACTCTGGGTTGCAAGAAGAAGAATTATGTTCTTTCTGGTCAGGAAATAAATGAACTCAGATGTTTTTATAGATTCGCTGTAGACGTTGGGTGTAAATATGAGCTTGAAAAGAGGAGAAATACAATTATTGAGAAAAACTTTGGCATGATCTTACATGTAACCTCTTTTGTTTTTTGCATTGATACACTTTATTTTTAAAATTTATTTATTTATTTTATTATTTTTATTGTTGGAACCTTGTAACAAAATTTTTCTCCATATGTACATTTTAAATGCAACAAGCGGCTCTGGAGCCAGATGTGGCTATTTGGCCCTTTCAATGTGGCTCCTACTAAATCTAAAAGGAAATGGAAATGTTTTAAATTATAAAGCCAGTAATTATGTGCATGTTTTTTTCAATTAAAAGTAATTAAATGTTTTCTAACTTCAAACTATCTGCTTTATATTTTTAAGTGGGCTACCAAACTTTCATTTCCCAGCTCTGTCAGTTGACCTCATCTTACAATGTTTATAGTTTTTACTTCCTTTGACTCATTTTGTTCCAAATATTTGAGGAAAAAATAATACATTCCTCTTTAATTTCTTTAGATGAGAAAAAGATAAACACAATTTTATGTAGTATGTACTTATAAAATCTATTTTTTATCGTCTAATATTTTCCTTAGCCCACAAGACAGGTTTTCTACAGGATTTAAATCTGAACAAAGATAGCTGATTATATATCTGATTAATTAGTTGTGTTGTTCTGCGATTTATTTCAAATGCATTACTAGAATTTTGTGTTTGTGTTTTGCGCTCGCTCTCCAGTGCCTGACATAACTGTGTCCCGGTGCACTACTGAACTTTAGATAACCCTCTTTAATCTGATTTTCTCCTGACCTCTTAAAACCTAGTCTTTTAATTTACCCTAAGTAAGTGGTCTAAATAATCTTTTTTCCCCTCAAAGTCTTACATTAGTTGGTTCCATCTGCTTAAAAACAAAAGGGTGAGAAGCTTAAATTGAGTGAAAAAACCAAATCTAATTTTCCACTCCACATCTGAGAAACCACAAGACGGCTGGAACAATGTTCTCCGGATCAAAGCAGAGATGCTTCCCTGTCATGCACAGGGCAACCAGGGCAAAGGATCACCTTTGACCTTCTGTGGAAAATGGTTAACATTACTTAACTTTGCTTACTTTACAGAACTTTAAAAAAAGCAAAAGCAAAGGAGTTGGATTAACAGTGATGAATATATGTGTGTGTGTGTGTGTGTGTGTGTGGGTATATATATGTGTGTGTGTGTATATATATATATATATATATATATATATATATATATATATATATATATATATATATATATATATATATATATATATATATAATATGTATTTTTGTGTCAAAATGTTGAGCCAATTCACTGAAAAACATCTTTCTATGTAAAAGTGTAACACATGACAGCTCACTGTAAAAACGGTTAGTGGTGGCTGATTACTTTGCCGTCTCCTCAGCGTGTTTCTTAGCCTGCGTCTCCATGGCGATCCGGTGTTGCTCCAGCTCGGCTGCGGTCAGCTTCAGCTTCTCTGTGACAGAGCTGAGTGAAGCATCCTGCTCAGCCACCGTCTGCTCCAACTCAGCCAGGCGCTCCAGGTGTTTAGGTGTCAGCACTCTGATAGCGGGCTTCTTCATCAACTCCTGAACACAAAGAGGGTCATTTTAAACCCAACAGTTGTTGCTTCCTTAAATAACACACGCTTAAACTGTTTAACAAGTGCTTAGAGACTGAATAAATACTTATTTTTAATGTCAAGTGACTTTTTATAGCACAAATAAGTAACTATATTACCTTTGGTTGTTATAAAAATGCTATAAAATGGTGCCTTACAGCAAATTCTTAATAATTAGGAGTGCTCAAAATAGTAAGTGGTGTGATTTGAGTTTTGGGGTGTCTCAGGGAACACTGCTTAAACCATTTATAATTTTTTATACTTTTTCTTGACCATCTTATTAAATTCACTTCTCAGTCTTTGTGACTTTGTAATTTAAAACCTTGAAATTAGGCCTGTGTCTCTTTAAGAAACTCTTGTTCTTTCTGAAACTCCGCCTTCTGGAAGTCATCACAACAGCGCTCCTGTATTAACCCTATGTTAGCATTTTTACCAGCGTTTCGCTGAAAAAATAATCAAGGCAACACTCCAGGTGTGTTCTTGATGAGGGACTAACATTATTACATGATGCAAAGCTCATAAAAGTCAACGTTACCTAACACTGCCCTACTAAGACGTTGTTGGCAGTTGGGTTTTAACTCAGAAAGCAGTCTTTTTAAATGGAGAGCCTGAACGTACCAATGCTGTCTGTTTGAACTGATCCAGAGAGGTGTCTGTGTGCAAGTCCAGCTTCTGATGTAATATTCTCAACTCTTCCTGATGTCTTTTTATCATCTCCTCTTGATCCTAGAGCCAACAGTGTGTGAGGCAAGGAATGAAAAACAATGGAGTGTTCATAGATCTTCTTTTGTCTTTCTTTTTACAAAAGTAAATCCTTTCTACTCATCATTCAACATCATAGCTTCACCTGTCTGGCCTGAGCCAGCTGGTTTTGGTATTTCTTCAGCACATCTTCTTTCTTGTCGAGTCGACTTTGGAGATCTTTGATGGTCTGGTGCGCCAGCTTCAGGGCAGCCTGGCTGCTTGGCTGGTCCTCTTCGTTCTTTCTGAGGTCGGCAAGCAGACGCTCGCGGTCGGCGGCCGCCGGGAGCCGGAGACGCAGCTCGTTGATCACCTTGTCCCTCGACACGACGTTCTGCTCTGCTTTCAACAAAGCCACTTCGCTCTCTTTCAGTTTCTGTTTATTGACAAAGTTTTAAAGTAGGGATTCAAACATGAACAATTCGATCGTCTGAAACGGTCAATTAACCCTTAAGAGAAGATTTGAATGTAACTCTGATTTTCTTTTAAAAGTTACCCATTGCATCAGTTGTTTACATTATCTTTATTTGGATAAGCTACACAAAAACTGACACAAACATTGGCAGATCTATTCAGTCTAATTCTATGGTTTGTGCTCTGAGTGACGTCATGCTTTATTTATTTCACATTATATTTAGAATGACTAGTTACACTTTCTGAACCATTTGAAAGAAGGTTTGTTGTGATTTATTTTCACATGTTATACCAAGATAGTCAACCTATTGTTTTTGTCAGTTTCAGATTCTTCATTATTTATTTTACATTGGCTATGTGAAGGCCAAGGTGTGTTTAAGTGAGTAGACTTATATATATATATATATATATATATATATATAAAAGAAAAAGTAATTTAGTACATTTATGTCTGTGTTAAAAAAAAAAGAAACGGTTTAAGTCAATTCAGCTCTATTTTTTTGTATCAGATTGGTATCGGCTGATGCTAAACTACAAGAACAAAAAAACTAATTGATATTAAAAATCTCATTTAAAAGACTTTCCTGGGCTACATAGTAGAAAAAATCAGTGCAGCTATGTAAATAAACCTGACTTGAAATTGTTAAAATACTTAAAAAATATAAATATGATCTTATATTTTTATTTTAGGCCAACAAAGTTTTACCTATTCAAGGTGGAGAAATGACCAGCAGAGTTTAGGGAGCGAACAATTTTGTTGTTCATTTCTGAAGCATTTTCCTTAAAAAAAAAAAAAAAAAAAAAAAAACTAAAAATAATAAAATGATGCATTTTGGTATTCATTTTTTTTTTTAAGTTTAAAGGATCTCTTAGGGGTTAAGTGTCCTGATTATGTAAATGGAGAACCAAAGACGATATAAAAATAAAAGCAGAAATATATATTTGTTGTTTTTCCTTTTACATACATTTTTGTTAAAACGTTTTTTTTTCCTTATACATTTGCTGTTTTTACATTTCCTTGTCTCTTCTTTTTACCTTGTGCATTTTGCCTCGTTATGCAGATGAGGAGGGACGGAGTCTTAAAACAGATTGGTTGGTTAGAATTACACTCTACTGACCTCAACAAAGATGGAGACCAGTTTATCAGTGAGCTAAAGTTTAGCAACTTCATTAGAAAATAGTGCTATAACTCCGGACTTTATTACTTTTCGTGTGGATGCTCAGACATTTAACGGCTCTCATGTATTTCTTCTTTTATTTCTAGTTATATCAGTTTTGGTCCTCCGTATGCATGAACTGTGACCGAATCAGTTACCTTGTCCAAACTTTTGCATGTTCCCTGAAGCTCCAAGATGGTGCGAACCTGCTCTTTGATTTTACCCAGAGCAAACTCTAACTGATGAGCCAGAGGCAGCACTGGGTCTGGGAGCGGCCCTTCCCCTTCCTTAACCTAACAACAAAAACAAAACAAACAAAAAAAACAATGAGAGGACACATCAATTAAAGTTTAACGCCCAACTGGTTTCTTACAAAATAAGTTTGGCTTTTAACAAAATGGAAACATTTTATCAATAAACCTTCCAAGTCTTGCTTTACCTTCTCGGCGTTGTTGAGAATCTCGGTGTGCTGCTTCTCATAGCGGTCCAGCTGGCGCTCCAGCTCCACCTCCCGCTGGTCCCACGCCAGCTGACGCTCTTCCTGAAGCTTAGTAGAATGAAAATGTCAGACAGCTGTGTTCGCCAATGAGTAATGGTTATTTTGTTTTATGTACAATCAGGCCTGGGAAATACATCAGTTTAATCATTCAATTTATTTAATTTATGGAAAATATGATTTTTTTTTAGGGGGTTTCTGTAGTTCAGTGTGATGTCACCACGTCCAGGGCAGCCATCTTGTTTGATAAGTGTGTTTTACAACTTCTATTTCATATTCGGAAAAATATAAGTGTCGGGCTAAGATTTTTTTTTTTTTAAATACGAGAATGAAGTCATAATATTACAAGATCACAGTTGTTATATTAGGAGAATGATGTAGAGATTTTCTGAGAACCCCCGCACAAACAATAACAAGAAATCAATTATCCAAACTTTTTCTCGTTTCTTGTGATTTTAAGACGTTCTTCTGGTCAAATTGGGTCTTTATTCTGCAGATATTATTACCGTATTCTTGTAATCAAACAAAAATTCTCGTGGCCTGACCCTGATACTCTATAATAAAACTCACAAGAGGATTTAAAAAAAAAAAGACATTTGTAATTTCTCTTTTAGAAAAGAAAGTAAGAAAAGAAAATTGAATAAAATCAGAAATTGCCTCTGGTGTGGGAAAAAAAAAGTCAGAGATTTAATTTTAATGCCATATTATCCAGCCCTCTGTGTGATATTTATAAAACATAGTTTTCTTTTAACAGAGTTTGATAAGAGTTGTAAACTTGTAGAAGGTTTGTCCTCACAGAGTTGAGCTGGACGATGTCCTCCTCCAGCGAGCGGACTGTGCGGTCCTGCTCCTCCACCAGCTTCTTAAGGTAGCTGATCTCCTCCTTCTGGACCACCAGCTCCCTCCCTTTCCTCAGCTCCTGGAGGCGGGCCTCCTCCATCCTCTTGTGCCACTCCATTACCTGTTTCAGGTAAAAGCAGAATTTAATCGAGCAAGTACAACCCAATGAACGCGGCATATGTTTTTGTTTTATTTGGTTTTCTTCCCCCGCTCACTGACCTTGTGGGCACCCTTCACGTCCTTCAGGGTAGAGATGAGCTCCTCCAGGCCTCGCAGTCTCACCTCCAGCTCCTGGGCTCTTCCATCTGCCCTCCGCCTCTCCACCTCAGCTGCCCTCCTCTCCTCCTGGGCTTTGGCTCGGTCCTCCTGGAGCTTCAGCATGGCCAGGGAGAACTTCTCCTGCTGCCGGAGGGGCAGCGCCCCGGCGAACTGCCTGCGCAGAGCCTGGACGGTCTGGCGGAGGTGCGTGGCGCGGTGGCGGCCCTCCTGGCGGGCGAGGAAGAGCGCTCGCTCGCTGGCGTCCAGCCGCTGCTCGGCGCGCAGCATGTTGGCCTCCAGCCGCTGGATGTGAGAGGCAGCGGCCTCCAGATTCCCCAGAGCTGTCGACTCACTGAGCTGCAGCGCCACCATGTGTTGGTGGAGCTTTGCTATCAGAGCCTTCTCATCCGACTGTGACTGAGGAAAATTGAGAATGGTTAGTATTATGGTTTTCCCAGCTACATAGCATTTTATAGCGCAATAAAACAATAAAAATGCTGCATATGACATATATACAGTATTTTACAATGTTAAAATGCTGTATATATATCAAATATCGCTTAAAGAAAATTGACTTTGTAATTTGAAATTGGGCCCCTGTCTCTTTAAGAAACTCCTGTCCCTTCTGAAACTCCACCTTCAGGAAGTCATCTCAACATGGCTCCTCTATAACCCTTCAACAACATTTTTACCGGTATTACACTGAGAAGTAGCTCCTATAATTAGCTCATCAGATGTTCAGTTCCACCAGGTGTTTGCTAATTGCTGCTGGCTAGTCTGAGGGAGCTTTGAAGAGTCAATGTGGTGAAGGGCTCCTCTGTGAGGTGGAAGTCCGGAACAAATACGGTACTTATCATTGTCCATTATGGGGGATATTTCTTCTAATTTATTTAATTTGTTTTAAGATCCACTGGCCGATTACCTCATTAGCAATTAACTGTGGAGCAAGTTAACTGTGGAGCCTTTTTAAAGACTCTACAATTGTGTGTTTGAGTATTATCAAAAATGTCTTCCAATTACATAAATAACTGAGTCATATTTTTGAAATTCCTGTCGACTTTTAAAATTTTTTTGATACAAAAGCAATTCCTATCACCTGGTATTCCAGTATTTGTCTCCTGAAAGCCTCAACTTCGTTGTCTTTGGATTTGTGTTGGGCCTGCAGAGCAGAGACCTGGGACAAAGCCACGTCTGAGACTTCTTGCAGCCTGCAGAAGAAAGATACACACGCACCACTTGGTACTTCTCTCATCTATCTTCACTCATAAAAAAAAGCGAAGATAAGATGAATGGATTTACTACCAGCATGATGAGAAAGGGCAAAAAGTGAGAACTAAACCTGAAGCGTTTCAGCTGAATGCAGACGTCTCTAACAGGCACGGCTGCACACATTCTAATTCATTTATTTTTTTACAGCTTTAGCAACAACCTAGCGAGAGACTGGTACAGTCATGATATCAATGAATCTATTAGGTGATTCCTGCCCAAGGTAAATTCTCCAGGTCCAGTCAGGAACCATCTTATCTTTGCGAGGATTGCAAAAACATGTTCACCTCAGCAATTAATTACCAAAGTCAGCAGCAATCAAGAACGGAAAAACAACGGAACACTTTCGAGACGCACTTGGAGACCTCGAGGCGCAGCTCGGCCTCGGCCTTCTCCAGCTCTGAGATCCTGGCCTTGTCGGCGTCGCTGGCGGCTTTGCTGCTGGCGCCTGCCAGCTCATCTCTTAGCTCCCGCTCGACCCGCTGGGACTCCGCATTCATCTTGGTCAGCTGGAGCAAAACAAAGCGTTGGATGAAAGCGATTAAAGTGATGTGTTCCAGACGATCAGACATTTCAGCAAGAAATAACCCTGAATGGTCACATTAACGTCTTTCCGCACAGGCTCTGCTGTACTTATATAACGCAAAAACAGACTTGTTAGATAATAAAGCGAGCCTGCCAGGAGATGCAAAAACCATTTAGAATAGTTCATCACTTGATTGTGTTGACTGGTACGAATTAAGTGCCAGATGGGAGAAAAAAAAAACAACAATCTAATGTTTTCCTTGGCCTCTTACCTCTAAGAACTTGGATTCCAGCTCTGTGTTGCGCTCCTCCACCTGTCTGAGGGAGTTCCTCATGTGTTCGTACATCCTGTGGGCATGCTCGGCCCTCTGCCTCTCATTCAGCTCCTTCATCTCTAAAGTCGTGATCCTCCTCGCAGCGGATATCGCCTCGTTGTTGATCGAGGCCCTGTCTCCCTCGGCCAGGCCGGTTTCAGAGCCTGGGGAAGAAAAAAACGGTTGTTTCAGTGAGGTGGAACCATTAATTAACTGTCAAGGCTGTAAAACATTAAAAAAAAGAAAACAAAAAACATTTAATATATTTTCTTCAAAAAAGTAGTGATTTTTTTTAGATGTAAATAATAAATAAATTCAAGAATAAAAACTTTGAATTAAAAAAAAAGAATATTTTATATTTTACCCCCCCGTACTTTATATTTTTGGTCATGTTTCAACCACAAGTGCAAATGTTTTTCATAAGGATATTTTGGGACAAACCAACATTAAGTAGCACACAACTGGAAAGTTTAGCTGAAAGAAAACTTGGCACATGTACCCTAATTCAGGGGTTCCCAAAATGGAGTGTTGGGTTGTTGGGACCCTCTAGCGGGTCGCGAGACACTCATTTGGGGGTCAAAAGATGATTTTCAAATTCATCATGATGTGATCCCCCTATGGATTATGGAGAGTCAGTTTTGGTTTATGGATCTGGTGATTATTTTTTGGATTAACTGTTTAATAGTTGGACATAAAAAGGTGCTTAAGAGGAGATTTTTTTTTTTTATTTTATTACAGATTTGAAGCAAGTGAAGCAAAAACTGCCACTTGAGTTCTGGGTAGAACATATTTACAGTCAAAGATTTTTTTTTACTGTATCTTAAATGTAATATGCATGCATGCATTTTCTTTTGCATGCATGCAGTTTTGGCTTAATCACTGCTTTGAATATGTTGTTCTTCCAGCAGATGCCCTTTTGTTAACTCTGTATACTCCACTTAACAATTAATCAATTACCAAATTAGATGATGATTATGTCAATATTTGATTCATTGATAATTAGATTTTTTACATGATAAAATCAATTAATAAAATTTCA